AAAATTTTTAAAAAAGAAATATTTTTAGGGATTGTACAAGACAAGCATCAGACAGTTCCCTAATATCAAAAAAAAGTTTTTCAAAAGTTTGTCATGTTGGGTCTCAAATGAAGCGAAATTTCAAAAATATGAATCATTAAAAAAAATTGAATATAAAAATATAATAGAGAATAAAAAAGGTTATAATCCGAAAATTTTGTTGAATTCCATTTATTGTTTTTAGTTTAAAAATGTCATTTTCTATTTACTAAAATCTAAAATAGTAATTTATTTATAAAATGATTTATATTGTTGTAATTTATATAATTTTGCTTCATTTGAGATCCAAAATGACTTTTGAATATTTTTTTTTATATAATATAAGGAACCGGTCTCATGTTTAAGGGTCCCTAGAAATATTTTTTATTTAAAAATATTTTACATCCAGTATTATTTTATTATATAGAAGACATTCAAGGGGTGGAGAGCATCTGTTTAAACAAATGTTTTTTAGAAACTCCCTACTCTACCCATTTTTTAAAACATTCAAATGAATTTTTTTATTTAAGCTAATTTTGAAAAGTTATTTGTATTGCTGAAATTAAGTCTTAAATTTAATGATATTTGAATTTTTAGATAAGAAAGTACATAGACTTTTCTTAAAATGAAAGATATCACAATTGAAGTTCAAATAAAACAGTTGCGTGATATACTTCAGAATATCAAAAACATAATTCCAGATGAAAAGAAGCAGTTCGGAGAAAACTGTAAGTATAAATATATAGAAATATTTTTAAATGTATTCTACAAAATAGAATGTTCAATGTTCATAAAAGAACAAGCTAATAATAATTTTTTCACATAGTGTTTTATCAACAAAGACTTATCAGAAATTTTTAATTTTTCTAATGAGACTTTTTTTAATAATGAAGTACTATGTAAAATTAAAAAATTTTGATAAGTGATTTTCTACTAATTTATGTATGCATATATTACATATACATATATAAATTATGTATGTATATGTAATATATTCATACATAGGTTGACTTACTGTAAGTAATTATAGGCCAATTTTGCTCACATCAGTCATAAATAAATCATGGAAAGTATAATTCCTGACTTAATGATGAAACATCTAATAACAAGTAATCTTATCACATCACAACAACATGTTTTTTTTTTTGCCAAAAAAGAGCTGTTTCACAATATTGCTAGAGTGTCAAGACTTAATAATAACAAACATCCAGTCGGCATCCTATTTACTGATTTTGAAAAAGCATTTAACACTGTATCACTTGAACATTATCCATATAATTAAATTGCACGGTTTTATTAATAAGTTTGCTGCATGGATAAAATTAACAAGACAACAACAAGTTATACGTGGTGAAAACCAGTCTGACTGGAGTCCAATCAGAAGTGGTTTTATACAAGGATCAGTGCTTGGATCACTTTTATTCGCAATATTTATAAATGAACTTCCTTGTCAACTTTTCCACGTAATAAAAATACTCTTGCTTAGCCGGACAAAATCGAAATACTAAGAAACAAATTACAAAATGACTTAGATAAAATATCTAAATGGTGTCAGGTATGAAAGATGAAACTTAATATAAGTATATGTAAAATAATGCATTTTGGTAAGTATATTCAAAAAAGAAATTATATTACCTTTGACTACAATCATAAGAATAAGTATTTAAGTTAAAGGCTCAGATTCAGAAAAAGATCTAGGTCTTATGACATCTACTGATGGAAAATATAGCCAACATATCAATTACTGTGCCAACAGAGCTAACAGAATGCTAGATTTAATTAAACACACTTTTGAATTCTACACCACCGCAATTGCTGAAATATCATAAAAGCCTTTGTTTGACTTCTTCTAGAATATGCAGCACCAATCTGGAATCCATCAAAGAAATACAATATAGCAGCTCTTGAAAAAGTTCTAAGAAGATCAACTTGAATAAGAAGCCTCTCACATCTAAGTTATGAATCACGGTTAAAAAAGGCTTAATATGTTGAAGAATTAGGCCAAGAAAAGATTAAGAGAGAATTTCTTTTTTAATGAATAGTCACTGTATAGAATTGTCTTCCTCTGTCTATTGTGCTATTTACATCAGTGAAAACATTCAAAAAACGATAAGACAAGTATATTGAAAACGAATATAAAGTCCCCAGCTGATACAGAGTGTGCTTATTACGCACTCTTGTTTAACATTATAAATATTTAAATTATTATTATTTTTTTATATTTCATCAATAAAAAGTTATTTTTTTTATATTTTATCAATTGTAAGTTTTTGTAAATGTGTTATATACTAATACTAAATTAAAAACATTTTTAGGCATTGCTCAAGACCTTTAAACATTAGACGGGTCCCTAATATTTTGAAAAAAAAAGTTTTTTAAAAGCATATCATATTGGGTCTCAAATTAAGTGTATTTTCAAAAAATTTCAAAAATAATAATAGTTTTATATAAAAATATTACAAGTTAAAATTTTATGGCTTAAAAACTCTAGTTTTTTAACAAAAAATAAAAAAGTACATATTTTTATAGTTTTTTTGAATTAACTTTTTGAATTTGTGTTTCCATAAATTTTTTTTATTATTTTTGAAATTTTACTAAATAATAAAAGACCCATCATGTTGGGTCTCAAACAAAGTAAAATTTTTTACAAAAATTTCACTTCGTTTGAGACCCAACATGATATGCTTTTAAAGAACTTTTTTTTTAATAATATTAGGGACCTGTCTGATGTTTAAGGGTCTTGAGTAACCCCAAAATTTTTTAATTTAATTTATTACATAGAATTTATTTAGTTTATTACATAGAACACATTTAGGGGTCTCATCAGACATTTTAAAAAAATATTGTTTTATGACACCCTAATATATATACTCAAGTGTGTGTATATATATATATATATATATATATATATATATATATATATATATATATATATATATATATATATACAAATATATATATTTTTTTATTGCATAGCAGAAAAGGGTAATGTGAATAAATGTAACTTTACTCAATAAAGTTATTTACATCAGTAAAAGTTTAATTATGCCATGGCCTATTTTAAAGTACCTCATTGTAATTAAATGTAAAACCACATTAAAGATTGTTGGAAGTCTTTATATTTATGAAATGTTTTTAAATTAAACAATATTGTTATAAAAAAAGTTATAAATGAAATTTAAATGTTTAAAAAAAAAATTATTGTTATTTTTTAATCTTTTACTTATTTAAACTTATTTTTTTTTCTTTAAAAACACTTGTTTATGGCTGTGTTTCTTAAAGGGATTCAAATATACTTACAGCAGAGTTTTTTAATCAATTTACACAACTATACAATTAGATTGGGTTTTACCCCTTTATGAAAAAAATTTGCACTACCTAAAATTTTTTAGTTCAACTGGCTATTTCTTACTAAATCCAAAAAAAAAAAGATAGTACTTTCTGTTTTAAGGTGTTATTAGCAGAACTTGTTTTTAACAAATATCACTGGGTGGCCATGCCTCCTAAAAAATCCTAATATTTGAAAAATATCCTAAAAAGACCTAATTTCTTCTAAAGTATAGATGATTTTCTCAAATACTCCTAAATTCTCCTAATTTATTTGTCCTGAGTATAATGCATAAACTATTATCAGTATTTTGTAAAAAATCAAAGAAATCAAATAATATAATATATTCAAACAATATTTTTTACAAAATATATTCTGAATTTTTTAAATATGACTTAGATGATTGCTGTATGTGTAAAGATTATATCTGTTGCAGATCTGGATACAAACACATTGAAATATACATGTTAATGAATGAAAAGATAAACAATATATGCTTGTGAGTGGAAGAATCAGATGGGTTTGCATGTTAGATTTGAGACTCCTCATTAGAGATAATAAAAACAAGATATTACAACTCTGAATTTTTGGGAAAAGCTGTTGCTGTTGATATTTATATGATAAATTTCCATAAATGGAAATTTATATGATAATATAATTTATCATATAAATTTCTCATATAAATGGAAATTTATATGATAAATTTCCATAAATGGAAATTTATATGATAAATTTCCATAAATGTGTGAGTGGTTTAGAAAAAGATAAAATACTCCAGGTTTCCATAGATGTTCCAAATGTTAATATGTCTTTCCTTTCTAATTTGAATGCTAAGAGAAGTGAATGTGAACTCAGTCAGTTAGTTTCAATTGGATCATTGACTCTGGCGCAAAATATGGCCCAAGATTATTGTGATTACTAATTTTTGGAAAAATTTTCTGGAAATGCTAGCAATCTGGTCAATGTAAGCCTGGGCAAAATACTAGTTATGAATACCTTTCTTCATGCTATAAAGATGTGTTAGTTCCTATAAAGTTGCAATTTTTTAAGGAAACTGCAAAATTGTTAAATTCTTTCTAGTTAATTTTCCAAACCGACAATCCTTTGACACCTTCTCTTGTGGAAACACTTGAGAATTTATTGAGGCTATTTTTATCAAATTTTATCAGAAAGAAGTTTTGTCTGAGGGATTCACAACTTTTAAATTATTAAAAGTTGATATCAGTGATGTCAAAAATAAAATGTTGGTCACAAATATTAATTTTGTGTTTGGAATAAAATATGAATTACAGCAACTGACATTTAGAAAAAAAGTTACTGATGCACAAATACATAATTTTAAACAGAAATTTAACAGTTTTTAGTTACAATGTGCAAACATTTGGTTGAAAAAAGTGCACTAAACTCATATTTTGCCAGATACTTGTTTATCACCTTTGTACATGGTAGAATCATGTACAAAGGTAATGGTGTAAACTTTACATTGACAAGTTGTTGCTGAAATTAGCTGCTTATAAAAAGGTATCACCTTCAGCTGCTAATCAAGCCAAAGTGCAGTATTCATAATTTTTAACTACTGTTGTCATAATGAACAAGGAAAAATTTCTTGGATTCAAAAAATAAAGTGATAGATTGGATTCTTTTGGTTCAGTATACAGTTTATTAAGTCCTTGAACCTTGAACAGCTTCAAGGTTCAAGGACTTAATGAAAATTTAACAATTATTATTAATATTGTCCCATGGCCAGGCACAAATAGTGTGTGGATTTAGTATCAACAACCAACTCCTGGATACAACCAACCAACAACCAACTCCTGCTAACTGATACTCTTGTTGCACAGAGAATTGTACATGATCACATGTGCAGTGAAAATATAAAATCATCCCAATTGTCTATGACAACTAAACATGTCAACAACGTGGAACATGTCAAGGATGCACGAAAACTATACTTTAGCAGTCAGAAAGAGAAGTCCCTGAAGGCCATAAAAACTGTGATACTAAACTGAAAAAGTTTTAATAAAGAGATCACACCCTTGAAGGTCCATACTTCAGCTCAGATATGATGCATATGAGTATGCATTGCTAATGGAAAAAAAGAAATCATTGATAGAAATTAAGTCATCCATTCTAAAATCTAATGTGCTAAAGAGGGTTGCTTTTGAAAAACAGGACTTACTACAAAAAGTTACAGCAGCAAAAGTAATAATTGACAAGAAAGCTGACATTTAGATTTGAATATTTAAATTTGAAATATAAAGTTTAGTTTTTGAAATTGGCTGTGTATTTTAATGATTTTTGATTATTTATTGTTTTTTTGTTTTTTTACTTAGTCATAAAATCATCTATTTAGTGTAATGTTAAGTTTGATAAATTTCTAATGCAAGTATGAAATTAATTTGTTTCAAGTTAATATTTTGTATGTGTAGAGATGTTAGATTATTTTAAATAACAGTGTTTAGGCCCTAATTTTATCTTATTTATCTTAGCTAGACATTCTTACATTTTTTAAATAAAATGAAAGTATTTTAGTGCCACTAAAAAAAGTTTAGCCACTCTGTTATCATTATAATTTTGAAATTTAAATATATTTATACCACTTGTATTAGTTTTTTTTTTTTAAATAAAATATATGTTGGACTTTTAAAGCGATTACCTATTAATCATGTTGTTTTTATTTGGTTATAAAAGTTTGGTTTGTTTTAAAAAAAAAAAATGAAATTCTTCCACATAAAGTATAATGGCAAAGGGAAAAACCCAAACATAACATTTATAACTTATTTTGAAAGAACTTTTTTGTATTGACATCATTTATTAACTATAAAAGTGCATTAATCAGACCAGTATTTTTCTTTTTTTAACTCATGCAACTTACCTGGGAAACGTTAAATCCAATCCGTCATAGTGCTGTTTGAACAGTTTTTTAAAATTCTAGACCCGATTACGGCATTTACAATGTGATATAAATGTTATCAAATTGATATTAAACAAAAATATTATTAATAATAACATTATTAATAATAAATATTAAATAAAAATGTTATTAAAAATCCCAGAGTTGCTTTTATTTTAAAGTACAACTATTTTTCCTTTGGAGATTGCATCGGTCAGTAAAATTTAGATTGCACTTTGAAAGATTGGATTAGTGTTTTCCAATTTACCCTTGAGAAGAAAATAAATGGTGTTAGAAATTATGAATTTTTTCACTTTAATGTTCAAAAAAACCCTAAAAACTATTACCTTTTTTTTCACATTTTGCCTTTAACAAAATCTTTGCATACTAGTTATAAACTAGTTAATCATTTTCAATTGAAGTTTAGTCTATGATCAATTCAAAAAACTAATGATAAAGAAAAAACTTTTGTTAAAAAGCAATTTCAAAGCTGAAATGTAAAATAAAGTTATGTAATAGAACATTTTAAAGTAATTTGAATTAAATTTCTTAATTTTTTTTTTTTTACTTAAACATTGTTTGAAATTTTAGCAGTACAAAAATTGTAAAACGGAGGTTTTAAAATTTTTAAAAGAATTTTAATTAGTTTTAATAAAATAAATTTGTATTTAATTATATTTATTAATAAATTTAATTTTAATTTAATAAAAAAATTAAAAATTAAAAAAAAAAAAAACAGAAAGTAGAAAAAAGTTTATGTATCTATTTGTTTTTTTATTTAAAAAAAAATATCAAAAATTTTTAAAAAAAAAAATTAATTACAGCTTAATGTTTCCACAAAAACTGTTCTAAGAGACCATTTAAATAAGCTAATTGAAAAAGGTTTTTGCGTAACGCAAATTGCATAACGCGTATGTGAAATTGGCATTACGTACGTAAAATTCAAATAGCGTATTGCTTCTTAACAAGGCCTGATATATGTATATATATATATATATATATATATATATATATATATATATATATATATATATATATATATATATATATATATATATATAATATATATATATATATATATATATATATATATATATATATATATATATATATATATATATATATATATATATATATATATTTGTATCTATATATATTCCACTCTTGTGTATCTTTCTTTAGTCCTAAAATCAGCTCAGTTATTTTTTCTAACATAGTTTGTATTTTTTAATCAAAATACAAACTTTGTTTGAAAATTACTAACAGAGTTATCAATAAGTACGTCTTCCAGTGGCAGCACATATTTCCTGGACACTAACTAACTAAGGAAGACAGATTGTTACCAGACACAGATACCACTTAGTTTTCACTTGTTTGACAAGTCCAATTTTATTTTTTAGCTTAGGATCCACAAAGACACTTTCTTGGAAAATATTACATAAATGTTCTACTACGTATATATCTGGGCTATTCATTCATTCATTCATTGACTGCAAATCTTTTGGAATCATCATAGTAAAAATTTTTGCACAAATTTGTTGAACTACTTTTCAATGAAAATATTTTTCATTTATCAGCATCTTCACCTTTAAATAAAATAAAATATGATTCAAATAAATTAGATGTTAACTGTCTGCTTCACTGGCACAACAACCAATTTAGTCAATGGATATCTTGGCGTTCATCCACATACCATACATTTAGTTCTAAAATTGGGACGAACAGCATAAGTGATATTTGATTTGTTGTCAGATCTTATTCATGTGTTCTGATGGTTTGGAAAACAAGAATATAGCTTGACTTTTTGTCGACCAAAATATTCATCTTGTAGATAGACATTTTGTTCTAACCAGTTAAAAGATTTTAAGCAATCTTTTTAATTTTTTTCAGACAATTTTATTTGTTTACAAGAAACCACTTTTGGTATTGGACAAAACATTGTACTGTTGAATGAGAAACTGTTTTGTTGCCTGTGATGTAGCGGCACAATTTTTTTTGGTTTTTGCACAAGCAATCTGTTTATTTATATAAAAATTGTTTATTAAATATAAAATTTACTTTTATACTTGTTACTAGCATATGTTTGTAATGTTAATGTTACAATAATATACACATAGCAAGTGTCATTTATTGCATCGTGAAAAAATTCTTTAGACATAAAAATTTTTTACTTTGCAAAAACCATGCCTATTTATTATCCAATGAATTAAATTTTTTTGACTTTGCGTTTTTCATTTTAGTTACAACGATAATTAAACTTTTGAGAGAAAAAAAACATATACTTTTGCAAGAGCTGTAAATTTCTCCCATAAAAGTTTTAGGGGAGTTTCGGCAAGAGCGAGAGATAAAGCTCTCGCTTCCTGCCTAGGCTACTTATCTTTGAGTGGTTATTATCTTTTTTGTTTGTGTTTTTTTCATGAAAATTTCTAATAACAGACCTTTTCCAGTATTGCTAAGCAACCACTGCAAAATAAGTTGCTACTTTTTCAGACTTTTATTTTTCTCAGCTTTTCGATTCGCTTCTAAGTAAAAATGCCAAATTTAATTTTCATGTAACTCATCTAAAAAATATAAAATTAGTTATAAGCAATGTGTAAAATAGCAAAATATATGTAATTAATTAAAATGAGTTAAAATGGAAAAAAATTGTTCCTATTCCTGTCCATAAAACCTACCAATGCATAACTGTGATTCCAACCACCCACCGCAGTCATTTACTAGCATTAATTGACCTGCACTGACCTGACCAGTAAATTAAAAATTTCTCTAAAGATTTAACAGAAATTCAATGAAAGTTAGTTATAGATGTATGCAAAATGTAAAATTCATAATTAGTTTACATTACCACAAGATTTTGCACAGTAATACAAATTTGAATAAGATGGAAAATTATAAGATGTTGTAAACCCTTTAAAACGACATCCAAAATTTGCAATCTCTGTCTCCGTGAAAAAATAAAAATTTTATATCACAATGAAAATAATTATATATTATCAAATGTCGACTACGGATTTCTACTATCCTCTTTTAATACCAAAGACTAAATGTTTTTTTTCAAGCAGTTTTTTCTGACAGTTTTTTATATGTATATAATAGCTGATGGTTGCCATGTATAGCATGAAACTTCAAGTACTATTTAAAATTTTGTTTTTCATTTAAACAAAATTTATATAAATATGTTTATTTTTTATTTTTTTAGTACATGGGTTTGGTCCATGTTTGATGCACACAGAACAAATTAAGGCCATGGAAATTATTGGAATACTTCGCAATAAATACAAAAGTTTTCTAGGAATAAGTAACCCACAGTTAGCAATGAAGCTTGTTGCTGTAAGTTTTTTATTGATCAAATACATTTAGTATTACTATGCCATTTAATTTTATAAATCATTTAATTTTGATATTTTGACAAGTGATTAGTAAATAGTCTTTTTAAAAATAAAAAGAATAGCTTATTTACCTTACTATGTATATTTTTTTTGTATTAGGGTACTTTATAATTAAATTTTCAGCGTCTTCTAGACAAACTCTAAAACTTTCAATGTTAAAACTTTTGTAATGACATTTATTTGCAATTTTGTATACTATTATTTACAATATGCAATCAGTTAACTTCTTGCAATATCCAGTTAAAAATATATTTATAAAAAATGAAAAGTTCATAAAGAGATTGTTTTACTGCTAGCTCAATTTGTTGTTTGCACACACTTGCTTAGTACATGTTAATTTGTTTTTTTAAATATGAAAGAAATAATAATATAAATTCAAATTAAGTACAAGTTACAATATAAAATGGTTTAAAAAATTTTTTTAATTGGTTTACATTTTTTTATGTAGTTAAAGTATTTTATTTTAACATATTTTATTTTTCATTTAATTTTTAATGAGTTTTCTTAACATCCTTGTTTCCAACAAGGCTGCAAGCAACCACTAATTAGTGTTGGAAGTTACTGGAAAAAAAAAGATGAAGATTGTAGAGCAAGATAACAATTGACAGACGACTTAAAAGATTGCAAATTATATGAATCAGGAAAGCAAGATGAAGGAAGCGAATTCCAAAGAACTGATGTTTGAGGAAAAAAACTAGATGAATAAGAGTTATTGGAGCACTTAGGAACAGTAACAGAAAAAGGATGAGACTTAATTGAAAGATGAGTAACACAAGAATGAATTTTAGAAGATGGCTTAAGAGACGCCAGCTCTTTAGAGCAGTGCCCATTATAGTATTTGTAGAAAAGAGAAAGTAAAGCAACATTATGGCGATGTGATAATGGTTGAAAGTTGATGCAAGAGCAGGTCCAAATATGTTTACAATGCGTTTTTGCACCTTGTCTAAAAGAGAAAGGGCATCATTAGAAGATCCGCCCCAGACATGGCAACAGTATTCCATACAAGGATGGATTTGAGATTTGTAGAGATAGAGAATAGAATCCAGAGTAAGAAAGTATCAAGCTCAATAAAGAGAAGCAACTTTAGCAGATGCTAATATTGCAATGGATTTGATATAAAGTTTCCAAGAAAGACCAGAAGTAAGAGTTAATCCTAGAAGATGAAGGGTAGATGACTCATCGAGTACATTACCGTTCATAAATATAGGAAGGTCTAAATTATTGCGATAACAATTGACTGAAAAAAATTGAGTTTTATCTGAGTTAAAGTTCAACAGCCACTTTGAGCCCTATGCTGTAGCAGAAGTGAGATCCTTTTCAAGCTCAAATGCCCCCTGCAAGCAATCAGAGGGAGTTGGCTTCTTATCGTGACAAGAATAAATGGTAGTATCATCGGTGAACAATGCCACCTTAGGTGTGAGAATATCTGGAAGATCTTTTATGTAAATTAAAAAGAGTATAAGGCCAAGGATTGAATCTTGAGGAATCCCTGAGGTTACAGAATAAAAAGAAGAGTGCTGTCCATCAAGGGCAACTTTTATACTACGATTGGAAAGGAAGGGTTCAATAATCTTAAAGATGTTTCCAGATACACCGTAAGAAGAAAGCTTATGGAGAAGACCAGCATGTCAAACACTATCACCACGGAAATATTCTATATATATATATATATATATATATATATATATATATATATATATATATATATATATATATATATATATATATATATATATATATTAACGTTGTCAAAGAATTCATGACAATTTTAATATTTTTTGAGCTGGTTCGTTATTTGAAGGAGTCAGAAGTTTACATAAATTGTTCAAAAAATTATTTGAAAGAATATTTCCATGGTGTCGCTGCATCTCAAAATTGTAAAACTCTGAAATCATCATTAGAATATTGCTTAATGATACTCTGCATACTCTATCCTTAATTGCATTAAAAACTATAAAAGAAAATATTACCCATTAACAGGTATTATCTGTGGGAATATTAAGCCCACCACGGTCATTTGAGTCTATGTATTGTCCATACTTTTGTTGGTAAAAAGTGGTTTTATCTAGAAATTCATTTTCTGATAGTTCTTTATCTTTACAAGTTAAATACCCTGATATATATAAGAGCCATATTTGTATCAAGAGAAATAAAAGATTCAAGATTTGGTAGATTGTCAAATATCTCAGCAGAGGGCTCATCCAATAGAAAACCACAATTTGGACAAGAATTGGTTTTATCAAGACTTGTCTCAACAGCTGGGTTATCATAACTGGGTTAACATATGTCAACAGCTGGGTTATCAAGTGTTAGCAAAAGCTTAGCTCTTGAAATATTCAACTTTTCAATCACTTGTTGTACTGTTATGAAATATGTACCTCTTGAACCCTTGGCACAATTTGCTAAATTCTTTTAAATTGATATATTTCCAAAATTTAAAATATTTTCTAATCTATTATCATTAGGATCTCTAATTACTACTTGAAGTTCATCATTGAATCTAATATCAGCACCTGTTCACCTGTTTGTTAAATCTTGTCTTTCTTTTATATGCTACAGTCCTAGATGATTAATTAAAGCATAGTTAAAGTTTTGTCACAAAACACCCTTAAACTGGTAGAAACTGACTGTATCTCAATTGGCTTTGGAAATATTGAAACTTCATTCAAGTTGGATAGTTTAACGAAATTTTTTGATTCAAGTTCATAAAGATTTTTAGATATTCTCATCGTGCATACTCCTTTATCATAAAAAATAAGTTGACCAGTTTTTTCAGTAAGCCAATTATTTCTAATGTTTTTAAGCAAATGGACATAATCAAAGATTAAGAAAATACCATCATTAGTCAACCAGGGTTTATCTGGAGGTAATCTTTCAAAGATTTAAAAAAATGCCCGATAAGTTTTATTTCCGTCGCGTATTATAACTTTAACTTGACATGAAGACTCCTTTATTAATTGAATAGTAATATTAATTTGTTCAAAAAGAAATTGAGAATAATTTACTTACAGGTATCATTTTGAACGATGGTCCACCAAATAGGCAGTTAACCAGTTAACCCTATATAGTTTTTGCAAGAGAAGTTGAATCGTCAATTACTTTTCGGAATAATGTACCACCATGGTATAACAACAATTTTTAAACATAAACCTCATCATGCAATAAAAAACAAAGTTTCTGTTTTTCTTCAACAGATTGAAAATTATTGGTAAAAAAAATGTTTCTCATTTAATTTAGAAACTTTTGAAGTTATTCTTGTCAAAATTCTTACAGAAGGCAATTGGTAATCTGTTCGCAGTTGATTATAAAAACTTCTAGATGTAGCAAAATACTGAAAAGATCTAAAAATAGCCTACTTAAAATAAATCTTACTACCAGCACACTGAGTACCTATAGAGGCTAAATGTTCCTGAATTACAATTTCTTTTCTGCCTGGAATTAAATTTTTGGAATAACGCACATATAACAATCCTTTGCCCACATAGCCACTTTTTTTTTTACGGCATCTGAGTAATAATTTTTTAGAAGGTTTTTTGGCAAACCTTTCAACTTTCTCAGCAAAGTATTCAAGCAGACATGTATGTCATTCTATAGTTGGTCACTTGTCTTCTGTGGATTTTTGATACTTATCAACATTAGATAAAAGTCATCTCTCACTGAGGTCTTTCATTTTTGACCTCATTTTCTTTGTCTTTATGGTGATAACCTGCCTAATTCAAATGCTTCTTGACCCAGCTAACTGTAGATTGGTTAACTGGACATAATCTAGCTATTTCTTGCTAAGATTTATCAGAATACTAAAGTAAAGTTAATATTTTAGATCTTTTCCCTGGTATAGTGTCTATCTTTGTTTATTTACTTTTTTTAAATTTATTTATCCTTCTAATCACAGTTAAATTAAAATAGAATAAAAAAACTAACAACAACAACAAAATTTTGGAATGGAATTAGTTTACACAATACTATATATATATAAGCAAAGCAAATATTTATTGGTTATTTAGTATTCACAGGAAACAGTTATGTAGAATTGAAATTTTGTAACTAGGATACAAATTTAATTAAAAAAAAATTCTTATTTGTCATTTATTTACTATAAAACCATGATTTAAAAATCAATTTAAACAAATAATCGAATATATAAAAAATAAAAAATGTATAGAAAATAAAAATCTAATAAAATACAAATAAAAAAATTAGTAATCCAAGTGTCCCCAGTGCACACATCCACAGTGTCTGGTTTTTTCATAACTTCTTATTTTGTAATATGTAAAGTTGTGTATAACAAGCAAGTTTTTTTATTTTTTATCAGTTAATAAAAAGAAAATCAGGTTCCAAATGACAGGAAAGAAAAAATAACTTGACTTTTTTTAACAAACAATTTGCACAAAACTATTTATTGCATTTTGATTATTTTTGTTACTGCATATTGTTAATGCCAAAAAAATTGCTTCCATATAATTATTAAAAAATACCTTTTGCCTAAACACAGTTTCTTTCATACAAAGAGTTTTTAAAGAATAATTATTTACATATAAATACATACAGTTCTTAAACTATCTTGTAACTACAAAAATTTGTACATTATTGAATTACCTGTAAAAAATAAATTTATTCAGTGAGAAATAAATTGAATAAAAATTGTAAAAGTAAACTGAATCCACCAAAAAAAAAGTTTTAAAATTTTTTGTTTGTTAAGCATTTAATGTTGGTCCATTTATTAGGACAAGTACCTTATACTAAGTTGCCTTATACTTTTAAGTCATATGGCATCTCTTTCTCTTTTGCTGTTCAAAGAAGCTATTATATCTAGTTCCATCAACAAAAACTCATTCTTGTAATATCACATCTTTTTACTGTACCTGTCCTTTCATGCTCTAAAAACCTTTATTCATCTATTTTTTTCCCTGCACATCAATGCTTTGAAACTTTCTCTAAATGCTTTGAAAATCTCTCTAAAACTCTCTCTCTCTCTCTACATGTTTTCCTGACTCATAAAACTTTCAACTTTTTTAGCCTTTTGTCAACAGTTTACTTGCTTTTTAACTCTATTCAGTATCTCTAAACTTAATAGTGCTTGCTTGCAGCCTTGTTAGGAGTGAATTAGATTTAAAAAAAAAGGTTTTATCAGTCACCCTGTCACCCAGTCTTTATTACTTTATGAGAGATTTGTAATAGCATAAAAAAATTTTTTTTAACTTTGAAAAAGTGTTTAAACTTATTTCAAATTAGAAAATAACAATTTTAAATATAAATTTGAACATCCTTTAAAATTTATTACTTATACTATGTTTGATTGTTAGATATTTTTTGTTTTGTTTAATTTTGATTATGAAAACTACTTTCAATTAAAAAAACAACAAAATTATTTTAAATAATATAATTTTTTAATTTTGTTTTTAATAATTTTAGGAGAAACAAGCTTTATCTAACATATGTGTTCCAGTTTCCAACATGCTTCACAAAGCAATCAATGATATTTTGAAAAAAACAAGAGGTATTTACAGAAGATTCTTTTTTTAAATATTTTAAATATACATAATACAGTATATTGTTTATTTTTTTCTTACTGAGCTGGTTAACAGAGATTATATTATAGAGTAGCAAAATTTTAATAATAATAATAAATAAAATATTATTAAAAAACAAATTAAAAAAATAACAAATATCAAAACCTTGAGCCATCAGTGTAATGTTAAATACATGATTTTAGTCCTGTAATAATCTAATTAAATTATTATACTAATTATTATAATTATTCTAATTTATTATAAAACTAATCTAATTTAATACAATCCTCTAATGATCATAGTCTAATAAGATTGTAAAGCAAGTCTTCCCAGGAAATGTAAGCGGTTTTTTGTCTTGTATGTCTACGCATGAGTGTTTTATTCTAGACAAGTTGGTCACAGCTGTTTGCAAGTTTTATTGTATTAGGCATTGCAAAAAAAACTAAACAAACTAACAAAATAGGTAATTAAAATAAATTTAAATAGAAAAAAAAAATTATTAATTTAAATAATTTGGGTACTGTTTTTATTTTTGTTTCTTTGCAGTGGTTGTTATTTTCAGCAATAAATTGGATAAGGCAAAAAAAAAAAAAAAGCAGTTCTAAGTTGACATTAAATAGAATGATTTTCATGAATTTTATTTGTTTGTTTTTTTTTAAATAGGAAAACGAAAATATAATTTGCTAATTTTTTGTAAAATATATTTTTGTAATTTTAATGTAACAAGTATATATTGTGCCTATATGACAACATCTACGTAATGCATGCGTATACTTTTATGTATAATTTTTTTGTTTTATAGTTATGAATTATATTTATTTGTTCATAAGTATATGCATGTTTAGCTTGTTCAGGTAAGGAGTTAACTTAATACATGGAATATCCTTGGTTTGAATCCCACTCCTGTTTATTTTTGTTATTGTTTTTCTTTTAAATACCGCTGGTCATATATTTGATTTCTAACCATTTATCTTTTCTTTTTTGTGTGTAACAAATCTTTTTGTTGTATGTTTTTAAATGATACACATCTCTTTACATTTAGATTTTTTATACCATTTAAACTTTTTTCTAAGGTGCTCACACATATATACATAGTTTTTAAGCTTCAATTAGGCCATGCCGTCTCCACATTTTTCACACAGCCTTAATTGTTTCGTATTACCTTTTTATTCCATTTCTTATTACATTTTTTAACTGCAATTCTTTAGCACTTTATAATTTATAGCTCTAACTTTATAACCTGTTGTTTTTTTAAATTCTTTTGCATTTAGTTATACCTGCCTTTTCCTTATTGGTCTACTATTATATTGGTGAACAATTATTAATAATAATTTTTAATTGTTATGCAATAATTAATAATAATTGTTAGTAATTGTTTACATATATTTCACCAATAACATAGTAGACCAAAAAGGGAAAAAAAACAAAAAAATTTGGGAAGAGGTGGGATTTGAACCACTGACATTCTGTGTATGAAGTAAATGTCTTATCCAAATAAGCTAAACATGCTTATACATATGAACAAATAAATATATTATTATATACATCTACTGCTGGATGCATATACTTTTATGTGTAATTAAAATTATACATAAAAGTATATGCATGCATTACATAGGTGTTTTTATATAGGGAATACTAGTAACATTAAAATTATACAAACATGTTTTTCAAACAGATAGCAACTTATATTTTTGCTTTCCTCTTTAAAAAACAAACAAATAATATATAAAATCATTCTTTTTAATGTTGACTTAAAACTGCTGCTTTTTTTTTTTTTTTTTTTTTTTTTTTTTTTTTTTTTGCTTTGCCTTATCCAATTTTTTTGGTGAAAATAAAAACCACTCCAAAAAAAGAAAAACAAAAACTGTACACAAATTATTTAAATTAACAATTTTTTAAAATTTTTTTATACTTAAATTTATTTAAATTTCCTATTTTGTTAGTTTTGCTTTCATTGTTTTTGAAACTTATTTTTTTCTGCAACGCCTAATATAAAAAAACTTGCAAATGGCCATGACCAACTTATCTAAAATAAAATAGTCATGTGTGGACATACAAGATGAAAAACCACATTCATTTCCTGAGAAGGTTGTAGTGGTGTTATTTCTTATAAAAGTTTTTATGGGTTTTTAGACAACTGAACAATAGTGTATTGTTAAATTGATTTTGTTTTACAATTATTTAATGGTAACAGCTTATGAAATAGTTTTCATGATGCTGCAAAGAACATTTAGCAACTACATGCGAACTTTGTCAACATAAAGTTCAGATGTTTTGAGTTTATACAATAATTAACTTTATATTCCATAAATGCTGAAATTTCTTGACTCCACTCCTAATTTTTTGCTTGTGGCTTGGTAGTGGCAAATCTCTCTGTTATTTTTTAACTAGGGCGCAGCTCAAAAACTCATGGTTCTGAGCCTAGCTATTATAAAGGTTTCTTGACCTCTGTGGTGACATTTGATTAATTAGCAAGAATGAGGCAACCCCTTAGCTTATTGCTTAGGGTGTCAGGGTGTTGGGGTGTCAAGGAATATCTATGACTAAGTTAAGTTCAATATTTATTAAAAACATAAAAAAGCACCTAAACATAGCTAACTAAGAAACCCATTATTATCATTAAAGTGATTCAATATATCTTTTGCAAATGTTCATGATCTTTAAAATAACTTTTCATCCATCAAATCTAATCTTTTGCAAAATTCAACGACATGTTAATTTTAGTATGGCTGTTTCATTTTTGGATCTTACTGTTGATGGGTTTCTCTTTATCTCTCAGCTAATGTTGTTGTTTTTGTTAACTTTAATGCTCATCGCAATGAATGGCTTACTAATACTGTTGACTCTATTTCTTAACATTTTGTCTTTCTTAATTTCTTGCTCAGTTATCTTTATGGGTTGTTTTTGAGTCATAAAGTACTGTACCTTCACTCCTTGGTTTGTGTTTTGTATCTGACTCTAGCTTGTACTCAGTTTCTGGTTGTTCTTTTTTAGGTGGTTCAGATCATGCTATGGTTTTACTAAAACTTATCTTTGAAAGCCTTGAACAATCTCATATTTAAGGTAATTCTTAAAATATTGTCATCATAGATGGTTCTGATTTTATTTCCGTCTGATTTCACCTTGATAAATCTCTTATTCAAAGGAAAATTAACAACTTTTTTATTTAAAAGAGCATTTATGGTGCTTAATTGTGTTTTTTTTATTTTAATGAAATATTGTGATAAATCTTAATTGTGTTTTATTAAGTAAAACGAAGTTTAGAAGAAAGGTTTAAACTTTTAAAGGGCTTCCATCATGGATTTTATGCAGGGGATTATTAAGAATCAAAAATCTAACTTTGGTATATTCTGTTGGTTTATTATTTGTTATTTTAATTTAGATTCATCTTTGGATATTGCGCTTCATAAACTTGAGTCAATTGCAATAAATGAAGGGTAAAAGAATTTAAAATTAGTTTTGTTAATATTGGTGCTAATATGTAGTTATTCAAATCTTTTATTCCTGTGAACTAATAAAAGTATTTCAAATAAAATGTTTTTAAGTGTTATAATTTTTCTTTGTGCAATTTTTTTAAAATAATTTTTTCAGTAAAATTAAGCTTTATTAGATTCATATATTATAAACTATTACAATTTTAGTTAACTTCTAAAGTTTTTCAATTTTCCAATTTATAGGTTGGCATGTGAAATATCAAATAATGACTTTTTTATCAGTTCAGAAATGTTTTATGTTGAGGTTTATTTACTTCTTTATTATTCAAAGTAATATTTAAAAAGTTGCCTAATTAAATGAATTACAATTATGTGACTTGTTTATACTAATAAAAGTAATATTATATACTTTTGTTTTAATAATAAAACAAAAGTAAACAATGTTACCTGTTTTTATATATATATATATATATATATATATATATATATATATATATATATATATATATATATATATATATATATATATACACACACAGTGGTGTACACTGGATTTTTAGATGTTTGAGTTTTGACACTTACACGTATTTTGCAAACTCCAAACTTTTGTATGTTCATACTTTTGTCAAATGAGAATGTTTTGCAAAAAGTTGTGGTGATTGGAGCTTGGGGACAAAAAAAAACCCAATTTTCGGGCCCACCCAGCCCTTAACGCGGGAGCAACAAGTTGACAAAATAATTTCTTTAGTATTTTTATCTAAGTTTATATTCATCAACGAATTTCAAATTTCATGCAGTAACCTCTTTGTTTTTAGTTTTTATGACCCTACAAAGTTTACAGCCCCCTCAAATTAAGGGGGGTTAAAATTTGATATGGTCATAATTTTCGAAAAATAAGAAATTATTGAATGAAATTTGAAATTTGTTGATGAATATAAACTTAGATAAAAATACTAAAAAAATTATTTTATCTACTTGTTGCTCCCACGTTAAAGGCTGGGTAGGCCCGAAAATTGGTTTTTTTTTGTCTCCAAGCTCCAATCACCACAACTTTTTGCAAAATATTCTCATTTGACATAAGTATGAACATATAAAAGTTTGGAGTTTGCACAATACCTGTAAGTGTCAAAACTCAAACATCTAAATGTCCAGTGTACACCATTCATATATATATATATATATATATATATATATATATATATATATATATATATATATATATATATATATATATATATATATATATATATATATATATATATATATATATACACTACCGACAAAAAGTTTGAGGCAGGTTTTTTAAAATTGCTAAATAAATAAACTTTTTCTAATATGATTTGTACTTTAATGATAATGAATACAAAAACTAATAAACATTAAACATTTTTTTATTATAAATTCTTAATTATAATTGTTATTTTAATTAAATTTTTGATTCGTCAAAATATCCTCCTTTATTCTTTATTACAGCGGCACAAATCTTTATCAGCTATCCCTTGTTGATTAAAATATTATAAACAGTTCTAATCTACTAGTGATATATTAGAATCATAAATTAAAACATAAATACACTCATTGAAGTCGAAAAAATAAACAATTTAAGGGTATTTACATCTCGAAATCATAAATTTTTACCCTGCCTCAAACTTTTTGTCGGTAGTGTATATATATATATATATATATATATATATATATATATATGTATATATATATGTATATATATATATATATATATGTATATATATATGTATATATATATATATATATATATATATATATATATATGTATATATATATGTATATATATATATATGTATATATATATGTATATATATATATATATGTATATATATATATATATATATATTTTTTTTTTCTTTATTTAAAAATATATATATATACAAATATATATATTTTCCAGTGCTTTCACTCCTATAATGATGATGATGATGATGATGATGATGATGATGATGATGATGATGATGATGATGATGATGATGATGGCCGTGGTCGTGGTGGTCATGATGATGATGATGATGATGATGATGATGATGATGATGATGATGATGATGATGATGATGATGATGATGATGATGATGATGATGATGATGATGATGATGATGATGATGATGATGATGAGATGATGATGATGATGATGATGATGATGATGATGATGATGATGATATTATAAATAAAATATTATTAATGGCTTTGTTATTAAAATATTCCAAAGGTAAAATTAAATCATTCTGGGGAGGCTGAATATGTTAACATACACAATCACATGGGTGAGCTGAAGGTATGAATTTTTTTTCAATTTTCTTTTTGTGTACTAAATGTTAACTGGATATAATAAACATAAACATCAAATTTGTTTTAGCCATGCAAAGAGCTTGTAAACTGTCTCAAGTATTTATTTTTTATTATTATTTATTATTTTAGTTATTTTACAATTTTATTGTTTTGTAGTTAATTTTCTTTTTTTTTTCTTCTGCTTCCTTTATCATTTGATTTTCCGTATTTTGTTGTTAAATTTTGATTTTTTTTAAATTATTTTTCAGAAAAAAAGACTATGATGATTTTCTCAACCATTTGCGAGGTTTAAAAGAAATCTACGCACTTGTTGGTGACAGGTACATCTCTTTGTATTGTTTGTATTGTCTGTGGCATTATTAGTGTGCAAAAGTCATTATGACTCTCTGCCTAAAGATAAAAGGTTTCCGATGCTTTTTTTTTCAATTTCCTTTTTAAATTTTGTTAACAACTTAAGCTTCTTTTATATGTCTATTCTTTTATAACTCTATCCAATCTTTATCACTCTATCCAACTTCTATCGCTCTATCCAGTTTCTATCACTTCATCCAATTTTTCTTTATCTAATCTTTATCACTTTATTCAAGTTTTATTTAATATATCTTCCAAACATTGTTTAAAATTTATAAAAATGTATCTTTTTCAACTGTTTTAAGTTTTACATGACTTGACAACAAGTACATCACTTTGCAAAATATGAAATATATAAGCCATTTGTGTTTTATATATAAAATGATTGTTAGGATTGCAAGTTAAAGCCAAAGTTTTTCGAGAGATTTTTACTTGATGCTAAATAGAACATTTTTTCAGTTTGTGAACAAATAAGAAAGTTGTGTCACATTAAGTGGTTTATTTGGTGTAACTGTGTAAATGTGAGAGTGTGTTTTTGACTGTTGACAAATGAATATATATAATTTATTTTCACATTAATAGTATCTATTTATAGCAGTACAAAGGCCAAGATTGTGTCTGCTGTTGGTTCATTAGAAGAAGATTTGTTAACTATCATGAATTCTGATAGGTATCTTGTTTTTTTTTATACTTAGTAATTATTTATATAATTTTTTTTTTATTTTTTACTTTAAAATCTTTTTTTAAAAGCTCAATTAAAAATCAATTTGATTGCATAATGAGAGGACCAGTTGGCTGTATTATTCCAGCAGTAGGAGGTAATTATTTTTAACAATTAGTTCTTGCAGTTTTTATTTTAAATAATTACTAGTAGAAGTTTCTTATATTTAGTATTTATGGTTAGGTATTGGCTTGTAACTAACTGTAGGCTTGGCCAGGAAGGCATGTAATTTTACATCATAATATGACCATGCAAATACAATTTGATTTTACTTAACTTGACCACGGCTGTTAAAATGTTTTGAAAATTTGTATACTTTTTAAAAACGCGCTAAAAAAATCTCAACTATAACAAAACTTAAAAAAAAACTTCTCATAAAACAAGCAAAATCTTGTTAAAAAAAAGAATGAAAAACAAAATAAAATTAACTCAACTAAAACTAAAATAGCAAAAGTAAAATTAAAACTTAACTAAATTAAATAATTATAACAATAAGATTATTTAAGTTACGTTTGGAATAAATAACTTTGAATCGTTTATCTTTACTAATGTTTTTATAATATAGTACTATGCGAAACGCTTTTTCAATAAAGTAACAACTTACAACTGACAATTGTTTAATATTTAAAAGTTTAAAAAAGGTCCTTAACAATTCATGGCAATAAAGAAAAAATAATTAAAATGTTTATTTAAAAAATTGGTATAATTTTTTTTTACTTAAAAACATTTGTAATTAAAAATAAATACTTGTCTAAAGGTAAAAATATATATATATTATTCATTAATGTTTTTATAAAAAATCATTAGCAGCGATTTGTTACTTTATTTAAATGTCTTTCAATAATATAAAAACATAAGTAAAGATCAAAGTTATTTAATTCAAACGGTTTTCAAACAAGTTTGTCTTCCATTTTCTTCTCAACAAAAACTTTAATGATTCTTATTTTAAGTTTGTTAAGGAGACCTTTGCTGTTTAAAGTTGTCGCTTATAAAATTAAATTATTTTTTTTTTAAACTTTTTTTATTTTTACTTATAAATAAATCTTATATAATTAAATAATATAAATAAAAAATTATACAACTTTCAATGATATTTTAATTAAAATATTAACTACTTTATTTTAAAGCGTTTTGCTAATATAAAAACGTTAGTAAAGATAAGCGTGTCAAAGTTATTTTCAATGTAATTGAATACCAATTTTTTTAGCACATTTATTAAAGACCGTGGTTAAATCATCAAAATAAAATATTATTTGTGTGTTCATATAAAGACTTGAAATCGCACGTCTTCCTGGTCAAGCCTGAAGCTGCTGCTAATAAACTGTAGGGATTGGTAACTAATTGCTGCTAATAGTCATAAGGTTTACATGTTTTTGTAGTTAAAGAATGCTTTCATGGTTAATAACAAATAACTGAATGTTTAAGTCAATAAATAAAAATAGATTAACTAATATAGTTAATTATAATACTGGTTATACTAAAACGAGCAATGTGATTTAGTGTTCTAACTTAATGTAAATTTTGAATAACTTATGTTCTGCAGAAACAAAGTCTGCTGATGTTTAAATTATAGTTGATAAATGCTGATAAATTAAGTATTTCCTTTTTTAAAATTAGAATTTACTTTATAACTTAAATTTTTAGGAAAATGCCTTCAATCGGTTTTTTTTATGGATCCTTTGATGTCAGTAAATTTTAAGAGTGACAACTATCAAGGTTTAGTTTTTAATTTTTTTTTTTTTTTTAAAGAAATTTCATTTTTTTTAATATATTTTAGAATTTATGTATGCATTTATATCAATTGCATAAAAAGCTCTGAATGAACTATGATATATATTGAAATTTAAATAATAAAATTTTTAATATATTATAATAATATATCAGGGACGAACCCAGACCTGTTTTAGTACCACTAGAGCGGTATGGGAGCCCAAAAAAAAAAACCCAAAAATTATTTTATCATTTAACTTTATTTTTGCTTTTTTATTAAAAATAAAAGAAAATACTTTTGGGTTTAAATGCAGTAATATATAAATAATTTTCAGTTTATTTTAGCTACTTCATTACTTCTTTTTAGCTACTTCATTTTTTCTTCAGGGCAATAAAATGAATTAAATAGCAATTGTTTTATTTAATGTAAATTATGTGACGTAACTGTCCTTTAGTTACTAGTTTAAAAAAAATTGAATATCGTTACGACACTTAATTTTAAAAACTTGTTACGCAATTTTATAATGGAATGTATAAAAATTTCGTTTTTTTGAAAGGTTTTAAAATTTTAAAATTTGTTTCAAACAAAAAAAATTTATTTAGAATTTTCTTAAAAAAAAAAAATGCTCCCCGACCCCCAGTGTTGTTGGCTCTGAATATTTAATTCTAAATTTTAAAGTTAAAATAATTGTTATTACGTATATGTTAATTGTTAATTGTAATTATGTTAAATGCTTATGTTTTTTATTCGAATAGTTATTCAAATACAAAACATAAAACTATTTGTTAATTTTACAATTATTACGCAATTTAATAAATGTAAATATATTATTTAATGTAAATATTGAATAAAAATTGTTTAGAGTATTTAAATATTTAATTATAATTTATTAAGAAAAATTATTATCTTATAAAATTAAATTTATTAAAATATAGTTAATAAATGTTTAGAATACTTTAAACAATTTTCAATAATTGTTTACAAATAGTAATTGCAACAAAAGTGTTTATTAAGTTCTTAAGTAAAATAGTTTTCTTATCCTAACTCAAGTAACATGGTTAGGTCCACCAGTAAATTCATGTATTTCTTTAAATTAACTCCTTATCTTTGGATAGAACTAAAGAAGGTAAACACAAATGATTAAAATGATGATTAAAAAAATGATGATTAAAAATCATCATTGCGGCACTGATTTTAACTAAGGGAGGGGGTGGAAAAGCTCAAGAATATCACCCACCACCACCACCACCACCACCCCTAACATTGTCGAAAAAAAGCGGTATCCCCTAATAAACTCAGGATTTGTTACTGTGTATTATAGTATTATAATATATTTTCATTAAATATATTATAATATTATTTTAATATATTTAATGAAAATATATTTTTAATTTATAACATATTATAAATATGTTATAAATTAATAATATATTGTAATATATTTTCATAGTTTTCATAATTGCATAGAAACAGCTACAACAAAATATCCATAGAAACAGCTGCAACAAAATACCCATAGAAACAGCTACAATAAAATATCCATAGAAACAGCTGCAACAAAATACCTATAGAAACAGCTACAACAAAATATCCATAGAAACAGCTACAACAAAGTGTCCATAGAAATAGCTGCAACAAAATACCTTAAAATAATCCATTTCTTATTTTAAGGCTTTTGCAGAGATTTTATTATTTTTATTATTTTAGGGGTTGGACGTTCTTAGTTTGTGTTCAGTAATTTTACTATTTACTCCTTGTATTAACCTTTTTCATGATATATTTGATGGGAAACTTTTTCCTAAAATTGTCATCTAATTACTTTTAATATGGGTTTAAATGGCCTTGACACGCTTTTTTTTAACTGTTGTATTTTTTTTTTGTGTTTTTCTGTTTAATAATTTGAAATATTTAATTTTTTTTTTTTTTTTTTTTTTGTCTATTTTAATGATATAATTAAAAATGTGTTTTCTTTTTAATTTTTGTTATGATTATAGATATTACAATTATTAAATTTATCATATTGTTTATTTTATTTGTGTTTTTTTACAACAATTGTTTTTACCTCGTAACAGGTTGTTAATTTCTTTCAAAATGTATGACACCGTAATTTTCCTTGTCTATGTCAAGTGTTATTTGAACAATAATATTGATTTTTAAATATTATGCAATCATCTTATTTTTTTTTTTTAATTATTGCTGCATTTAATTTATTATTATTTTTATTGATGCTATTTGTATCTTAATGGTACGAATTGTTTTATGTTATTAACTTAAATTATTCTCTTAAGGTAAAAGAATTTTTAAAAACTTAAAAACCTAAAACCTAACTTAATACTTCTCTGTTTTTGTAATTGCTTAAACTAATATATATTGAATATACACTTTCGATATAATTGCAAGTTCAAGCAGTTTAACATCCCAAGCTTTGTCAAGAAGATTAACTTTACCAATGTTTTAGACCAATGTTTAGCTTTCAAATTTTAAGCATAGATGAGTTTTTTCCAAACAAATATGTTTTCTATAATTAAAATTTTTACGAGTATTTTTTTTTTTTTTTTTGCTTTTAAATTCATTCAAACTAATTCAAATATTAAAAATTCCTTTTTGTAAAAAGTTAAATAATCTAAATTCCGTTTTAAAATAATCTAAATTCCGTTTGTCAGTTAAATAATTTTCCAAGATTATCATAGAAAAAAAATTTGCGGGATTTTCATAAAGTCAAATACTCATCTATGTTTAAGAGAAAAATTTTTTCCATTGTAAAAGCTAAGTTAAATAAAGTTTCAAAAGTATATAAGAATTTATAGAATTATAACATCTATAAAGAATTTATAGATGCATTGAGATAAAATTTTAAACGTTTACATAGATAATGTTTAGTAGACATTTTTTTGTTTTCATATTTTATTTGTTCATTCATAAAAGAAGTTAGTTAATATTTTGAATAAGACCATAACTTTTAATGGTATATACCAACCATTGCATAAACATATCAATTGTCTAATGAATTTATAATTTGCTAATTTTTGTAAAGATATAGTATAGTTATATAACTATGCACTATATATACACATATATGCGTGTGTGTATATATGTATATGTGTGTATAAAACAATACTTTAATTGTATTTTGATTGAATAACTTATTTAGGGGGTGGGATATATATATGTGTGTGTGTATATATGTATATGTGGGATATATATATGTGTGTGTGTATATATGTAATATATATATGTGTGTGTGTATATATGTATATGTGTGTATAAAACAATACTTTAATTGTATTTTGATTGAATAACTTATTTAGGGGGTGGGATATTGGAAAATGTTTGTCGATTAAGTTTAGGAAGATATCATTCTAAAAATCCTGTTTCTATAGGAGGAATTAAACTGTATTAAATTCTCTTTCTTTTGGATCTGGCTTTTTTTTAGGATTATTTTTAAAATGAAAATCAGTGAAGCTGTCTTTTCTTAGTTCCTTTTCTTATTCTAGTATAGATAGGTTAAACCTGTTTTCATTCAAAGAATAAAAAAATAAAAAATAGGAAAATATTTTTTCCTATATATATATATATATATATATATATATATATATATATATATATATATATATATATATATATATATATATATATATATATATATATATATATGTATATATATATATATATATATATATATATATGTATATATATATATATATATATATATATATGTATATATATATATATATATATATATATATATATATATATATATATATATATATATTTACAATTATTTTTACTTTTCTCAGGGTTGGATATGACAAAAGGTTGTTGTTCTGCTGTTTTATCTGCACAGTCAACTGAACAAAATCTTCTTCCCACATCCTCTGTTTTAATGGTTGAAAATAACAAGTTTGTGGATTTGTTTGTAACAGCAAAAGTTTGTAATAAATAAAATGAATAAATTAAATGTTTTATAAAATACAGTACCATTGTCTTAAATCCAGCATTCAATATCAAAATGAGCAGTTTTGGACAGTAGAATCACTTCCAGCAACATTTGTGCTTAAATTGTTAAAACCATTACCTGCATCTATACGAGTAGCAAAATTAATTCATAACATAATAAAGAAAGATAAAGGTATGAGTCATTAGGAAAATTTTAAGTTTTTTGTCAACAAAGTTGTCATTGTTATATAGGATTTTAGATTTTTTAAATTTGATTTTTAGTTCTATTAACCTAATTGTTAAAGTATATATAAAGGTTTTTTATGTAGAGATAATATAGGTTAGCTTAAGGTTAGCTTTTTATGTAGAGATAATATAGGTAAGGTTTAAAAATTACATTTTAGATTTTTTAAATTTGATTTTTAGTACTATTAACCTAAGTGTTAAAATGCATGAAAACTTTTAGATGGATTGTTTGTTCACAATAGCAAAATAAAGTTTGATCAGCTTCTTTTGAAAGAGGTAAACAAATTGTTTGAACGTTTATATATGTTATGTATTACAATATAATTATAAAATAATTCTTTTTATCAGCTTCTTTCAAGATATAATACATGATAAAAATTAATTTAAAATTAAAATATATATCAGCCATTGGAATTAGAAAAAATTGAGGTCGGCAATAAGTTGTCAACCTTATTCCAAGGACTAATTCTACGGGCTGATATATATATATATATAAGTATATATATATATATATATATATATATATATATATATATATATATATATATATATATATATATATATATATATATGTATATATATATATATATATATATATATATATATATATATATATATATATATATATATATATATATATATATATATATATATATATATATATATATATATATATATATGTATATATATATATATATATATATATATATATGGCACTTGTTAGAATTTCTTGCTTATTCAAAGCAATTTTTATTCCCTTTGTGTATGTTCCTTAACAAACTCATGCAAATATCCATCAGTTATTCAAACTGCAGTTATTGAAAATTTTGTTTAAAAAGATTATTTGCTTCTCTAGACTAACACCCTGTCAGTTATTTGACATTTTTCTTCAGCTCAAAACAGCATTACACTGCATTTCAAAATATAATTTTATCAAAAAATGTATGTATGTATATACATAAAGAAAATAGCGTCATCAAAGTCTAAAAAAATTGGCATCTATGCAAAAGAAGGGAGTACTGAAAATCAAAGATAAAATCTTGCTTTTAAAGCTTAGAAAATGGTCACACTAAAAAAAATGTAGTCAAAAAAGTTTAGTGTTCCTCAAAGCACTTTAACTTACTGGATTGAGCATAAAGAAGACATAATCATTAAGACTCTAGTCAATTTGAAGCTAAGAGACAAAAATTAAGTTTTTGAAAGCATGGCTCCATTGATAAAGATGTATATAAATGGTTTATGAGGATCAATGGCATGAGAGGATCAATGGCATGACCCATCATGCTATTGATCCTCTCAAGCTATGAATTAAGGGATATTTACAATGCTGTCGAGTTTGATTTATTTTATCAACAGCTTTTGACAAAAACCTTTTATGTAAAAGGTGAGCAATGGACAGGGAGAAAATTTAGTCTACTGCTGGGTTTCAGTACATACATTGGCTACCTTATAACCTACTGCTGCAAAGGAGTACTACTCTAAGGGAGTGCTGCTGCATCAACTGAGGGTTTAGGATGGGTCAGAAATCTTTTCTTTGAATGTTTGTTTCTTTTTGACAATTATTGTGTATGTTTCTGTAAATATAAAAAAATGTATATATCTTGTAAGTTATTCTTCTATTTTTTCTTTTTAAAAAAAACCCATATGCAATAAAGATAAACATAACTGGTAAACAATTTCTGATCTATATACGCTTTTGTAGATTCAGTCACTGATTTAATAAAGAATTTGAAATATTATGAAAATCACTAATGACGCGTTTTAGGGTTATGGCTTTGCTAAGTATTTTGTCTTGGATAAATACTGAAAAAATACTAAATAAAGATGCTAAAAAAACTGTTGAATATATTAGATACAACACTTAAATTAAATAAATTCGATTTGTGTTTGAGGTTTAATGTTAGTGTGAATTCAATTTTTTTTTTTTTAATCTTTTTTAGAATTGATTTCATTTTGAAAAATTTTAATGTTAATGATTTCATTTATTTCTTTCCAAGTGTTTTTAGTATTGCTCAGGTTGTTATTAAAATTACAATTTTTAACTAAATCTTAAAAAAATGCTGACTAATAATAATAGATAAAAGAAATAATTACTTTTATTTTATGAATAAACTTGTTAAGCAAGTTTGTGTATATATTGTTTATATTTGTGTATATATTTGTGTATATATTTGTGTATATTTTCTTTAAATATACAAGATTTTTTTCAAGTTTTTTAATAACATTTTGTCATAATTTTTTTTTTTTAAATAACATTTAAGAAATTTTGTTTGGTTTGTTAGAAATTTTTTATAGCAATTTTAAAATTAAATAGCGAAAAAAATTTTATTAAAAAAATATTTTTTTAGACTTGTGGAGAAATGAAAGATGTGTTACATTGTTGTGTAAGAACTTTCAATTAAAATATTTTTGAATATTTTTGTCTAAAAGCACTATGACTTTAAGGTTAACATTTCAAAAAAAAAAAAAATTTGAATTTAACAAAAAGATTATTGTTATAAATATTTGATTTAAAAACACCGTTGAGTCACCGTTGAGGTCAGATTAAAAACACCATTGAGCTCATTTAATTAGTTACTGTAGTTTGAAAGTTGAACGAGTTTTGAACTGAATTTAATTAAACAAATTTCAGTTGAATCAGTTTTTACTAGTAAACCTTTAAAACTCTTCAAACTTCAAACTCATTCAATAAATTTGATAAAAGAAATAATTAGTTGAAAAAATTTTTACTCTTTTAATTTTAAATTAATTTTAATCACTTCCACTCACTTGATTCACTAAAGATTTCCACTTATGGTTTCACTAAAGATTTCCACTTTCCAACATGTTATGTTTAGTTTGAGTCTTTTTTTTTTAATTTAATTTTTCAGTCCAATTTAAAATTCAAAAATTTAAGTCTATTTTGTTTGTGGAAATTCTCTTGGGTAGTTTTGTTTGTCTTTGTGGTTGTGCATAATGTATTTCAGTGCAAAGTAATAATTTGCACATGGCAAATTATTACATTTGCATATGCATATTAATATTTGTTGTATAAGATTTATTTTTGTTTGTCTGTTCTTTTTCTTTGCCATTTTCTTATTTGTTTGTAGTTTATTGTAAATTAAAATGATAAATTATGAAACAAGTTTAGACTTAAGGTCAAATTTGGCAGTAGAAATCTTGGTGCTGATCCCATCTTTGAGTTGTAATAGAGAAAGTTACCAACAAATCTCAATTTTTTTAATTTTTTTTTTTGTGACAAAATAGTGAACAAATTCAAGCAGTTATCACCATCATAGTGAAATAAAGTTGATGTGGTAAATAAAATACTGATTCTTGTTCATAGCTTTTATTTTTTTAATTAATTGTAAAAAAATTTACTTTTAAAAACCTTTTGAAATTTTTTTATTTTTTTAAATTTTTACTTTTGAAAAATTTTGAAATTCTTTAAAAAATTAATCAAAGAAGATTGGACAGAATATATCTTCTATATATATTTATATATATATATTAGGGTGGTGCTTAAAACAACTTTTTTGAGAAAAACCTGCTGGTACCCCCTAAATGTGTTTTATCTAATACAAAAACACTAGGTTTAAAATTTTTTTGAACAAAAAATATTTTTAGGGGTAGCTCAAGGCCCTCAAAAATTTGACGGGTCCCTAATATTTTGAAAAAAAAACTTTTTCTAAAGTATGTCAACCTGGTACTCAAAATAAGCAAAATTATATAAAAAATTTAAAAATGAAAATAATTTTTTATAAAAATAATTTTTTCAGGTATAAATGCATAAAAACTATTGTTTTTAAGCTGAAAATAAAAAAAGTCAATATTTTCAGGTTTTTTGAGAATAATTTTTTTTAGGCATGTTTTTTATGTAAAATGATTATTATTTTTGAAGTTTTTATATAATATCGCTTCTTTTGAGTACCAGTTTGACATACTTTAGAAAAAGTTTTTTTTTTAAAATATTAGGGACCCGTCAAATTTTTGAGGGCCTTGAGCTACCCCTAAAAATAATTTTTGTTCAAAAAAATTTTAAACCTAGTGTTTTTGTATTAGATAAAACACATTTATGGGGTACCAGCAGGTTTTTCTCAAAAAAGTTGTTTTAAGCACCACCCTAATTATATATATATATATATATATATATATATATATATATATATAAATTCAAACTTAATTATATTCCAAAATTTATCCATCCTCTATCAAAAAATTGTAAGCACAATATAATCCAGTTTAACCCCCTTCCCCATCCTTCCCCTCCCTATCATATAGTAAAAATGTTTCTACCAAAATTTTTTAACTCTTTTTTGATTTAATAGACAAAAACTTACCAGTTGGCCATAAATACCTAACAAATACATAAGATTTTTAATAGAAATACTCTAAAGGTAATAGAAATAATTCTAAAGAGTTACAGTTGTATGCAAAACATCAAATCAATCACTAACTCTCATAAACATCGTATAATGAATTATTTGTACCATAATAGTTTAATTTTCTTTGTTAGAAATTTATTTCTTTGTTAGAAATTTAATATTTATATATATATATATATATATATATATATATATATATATATATATATATATATATATATATATATATATATATATATATATATTTATATTTATATATATATATATATATATATATATATATATTTTTTTTTAAACAGAAATTTTTTTTTAATTTCTTACTTCACTTTATTTGTTCTTTTTTTAACTTTTACTGTTTAAAATTGATCCCTTAGTTTTTTATTTGGTTTAGGCGTTGCCAGATTTTTCTCAGAAATTTGAATGGGTACCATCTGATGAAAATGATGGTCTCCTTTTGTCTCTAATTCCTTTTACAAAACCTAATCAGATAATAAGTATTATTAAGGTAAAATCTTTTTTTATGTGCAATATTTTAACTATAAAATATTTTATTTAAATTACATATATATATATATATATATATATATATATATATATATATATATATATATATATATATATATATATATATATATATTAGGTGCTCAGATTTCAAGCTATATACAATCATATATTTACCAGTTTTCTATGTGGTGCTCCTACTAAAAAAGGTATAATTTTATAATTAGCAATAAAAACAGATTTAGTTGGTATATGGTTTTTTCATTTTTCTTTTTTCTTTTTCTTCATTTTAAAAAGATATAGATTCACAACCATAAAAGTGCATAAGGTATACCATAATGCCAACCTAAATCACAAATAACAATATAAAATATATACAAATATATATATATATATATATATATATATATATATATATATATATATATATATATATATATATATATATATATCAAAAGAATATTTAATCATATATAATCAAAAGAATATTTATTTCATTCGACTTTTTTAGCTCATTTGAAGCTAGATATTGATTTTTAGAAAAATTACGAGCTATTTTTACACTTAAAAACTTGTTTAATGTTTTGCTTACATATATATATATATATATATATATATATATATATATATATATATATATATATATATATATATATATATATATATATATATATATATACATATATATATATATATATATATATATATATATATATATATATATATATATATATATATATATATATATATATATATATATATATATATATATATATATATATATATATGTATATATATATATATTAAAGCTTTAAATTTGTGGTAAAAAAGGGCTCTTAACAACTCTGTTTTTAAAAATAACAAAATTAAGTACACTATGTAAAAAGGATTAAATTTAATTGAGGAAACTAATTAAATTTTTCGTTTTTGAAAAAGCTACATAAATGCAACTTAATAGACTGGAACATATATTTTTTTTACTGTTTACATACATTGACTGACCAATGTCAGTTTATGTATGTAAATGTATGTTTGTGTGTTAATACACACAAAAATTTATATATGAATATTAATTTTTTATAAATTAAATTTTTTTAGAAAGCAATGATATATTTGTAAGTGTAAGTGCATCTGATTGGAACACGATAAGAGTTTCATTTTTATATAATGTGGATTCATCTTTAGCCTCAGGTTTGATGATTTTATTTAGTTATCTATCTTTTTTGCATATTTTATGTGCCATACTAAAAAAATTAATTTTGTATAATTGCTATGATACTTTTCTCATGTAATATTTTTGTATTTTTATATATTGTATATTATATTTTATATATATTGTTGATGGTTCTAGTAAGACAGAACAAGTAAAACTCAATTTTTATTTTAAATAAATATTATCAAGTATATACTTTAAGTATACACTTAATAATGAAATTTTAAATAAATATTGTCAAGTATACTTCAAGTACTTGATAATAAAGTTTTGAATATTTTGAAGTATATACTTCAAACTTCTTTTTTTTGTTTTTCCTTTTGCCTATCAAGTATATATACTTATTTGGTTGATATAGGCAAACAATTTTTTACTGAAAGTTTTCCTGTATACTGAAATTTATCCTGTATATTCAAATTATCTTTTTGCATTTTTTATGTTATTTCTAATATCAATTGCAACTCTACTTGACCTTTCAACATAAGATTTTAACATGAACTAACATAAAAATGTCTTGAAATGAGTCTTTGAAGGATAAAACTGTTCAATGATAAGACTATTTATAATCACTATGCTCCCTAGTCCCAACATAATTAATCTTTAAAAAATATGTATGGTAAAAAATGTTTGGTAACTATGGTAATTATAATTATGTTAGTTATGAGTTTGAATTGATTTTAAAAGTTTTATTTTTAGTTGACATTACAATTTCAATGGAAGGTACAGTTGATTGTACGTTAAATGTACTTCCTGGCTCTCCTAATGTTTGTACAAATGTATACCTGACAAAAATACTCAATAAGTAAGTTATTAGTTTTTAAGTCAAGATGCTTTTGTTTTGAAGAAGAAAAAAAATTTTTTTTTTTAACATAGATGTTTATCATTGCCACTTCTAATGAGAAGTTTATTTAAAAAAGTAGCTTCTTACAAACCAGAACATTTAGTGGAGAAGCCACCACCTGAGAAAAAAGCTCAGCGACCTAAAAAGTTATTAATGCCAAACTTATCACAAATTCAATCTGAACTTCCACTAGTTTCGCCTCATATAAACTCACCATCAAATTTTTTAAATTTTTCTGGGTCAGTGTCTTCTGCTGGAATTTCTCCACACACTCCTCTGTTTCCTTTTGATGGGCAAAGAGGAGTTTCTCAAAAAAAAACATTTTCTATGAATTCAATTGGTACTCCTGTTTCACTCGGTACACCAAACAGTGATGGTAGCGGAACTCCAAATAAACTCAAGCTTCCGAAAATTACATTAAAACGAAAAAGGAACAATGATTCTGAAATATATGAAATAGATCAGACAAAAACAATTATAGATCAAGATTGCTCAATTTCTAATCAATCAAACGATGAGTCAATGTCATATGTTTACCCTCCATTTGACAGTATTAACTACATTAAAGTACCCTCTCTATTTCCAGAGCAAGTAAGTTTTCCTGACATACCAATCGATAGTGATACAGATATTGAAGGATTGTTTGGAATTTCTTCATTTTCAGTTGAAAGTCAAGGTATTCATTATATCAATCTTTAGTTTATTTTAACTACTATTTGTATTTACTTGATTTATTTCAATTTGATAAATTTAAAATTAATAATAAATGTTTAATATCTTTATGTTATAATTAAAGTGCATATTATAATATAAATTAATTTAAAATCATTTTATTTTATTTTTTTTCCTTTTTTAATTTACTTATTTTAATTTTTTTATTAATCATCTTTTTTTGGAGAACTTTTTATTTGCAATTGTTTTTTTTTTTAATTTATTAAACTTTAGTCAACAATAAATTTAATTAAAATATAATTGAGTTATTAAAATTTACACAAATTAAATATGAGTTTCAAATAGAATAACACTTTTATCACAGGTTCTACACATGTCCCAGCATTCGACTTAGATACTATCACATCTGGACTTAATTCTAATTTTGAACAACATCTTTCTGCTTCTGCAATAGGTAGCTTTTGTTTAAATAGTATATTTATTAGGTATGTTGTTGTTTTTTTGTTTATATGCTGCTACCATTTTTATAAAATATAAACTCTCTACCTTCTTTTATCCTCTTATATTAACAGTAATTAGACAGTAAAATTACATAAAACCACCCTGTTAAGGTTTTTTAAAATAATTTAGTTCATACATACATACATACATACATACATACATACATACATACATACATACATACATACACACATATCAGGTCTTGTTATGAATAAAAATTGCTTAATGTATTCATATAGTGGAATTTTAACTCAAAACAATGTAAAAATGTTATGTAATATTGTTTTAAATGTTTGCTTAAACTCTGGTTTTTTTAAAAATATATAAGGAAAATTCATTATAATACTCTTTTTACAAAATTTGAAAAAGAGGTGACCTCATTCAAATTGTTAATAGTTAAGAAAAGATTCACATTACAAACAAACTTCTCAACATAAAGTCAATGTTGAAAAAAATGCCAATCAATATTTTCTTCGCATCAAAACTTAGAAAACACTTCAAGTTAAATGCTGCGAGGCTGTGATTATTATAAGGAAATGTGAAAGACCAAGAGTTATCAATAATGAAAACAAGCAAGTTTATTTTACATAATAATATTTCTACAATCTTTTGAGTAAATTATTCAATTAAACTATTTTTAATGTAATTTAGTAAAGCTAAAAAAAGGTAGTTAAAAAAATAAAAAGCAAATAAAAAAACTTTATGCCATTAAAAACAATAAGTTTGTTAATTTTCTTGACATTTGACACAAGTTATGTCTATAACTGAATGAATAAAAAAAAAATTTGTTTTATTTCGTGAATAAAAGATTTTTTTTTTTAAAAAAAATACAATTTTTTAAAAGTCAGTGAATAAATTAAAATTTTAGTGTAAGAAAAAAACACAGCAAAAGTTAATTTTTTTACCAAATTTTTTTTTATAAAATGATTTATAAATGCTTGTGTTATTACACAAAAAATAGCAGTTCTTGAGCATTTTAGTACTGAAATTATTTTGGTAGTGGTCTTACCCAAATGAAGCAAAAGCAATATCATTTGCTTCCTTTCCTTCTATTTTTGTCACAGATATAAAAGTATCTACACAGATATAAAAGATATCTAAAAGTAGTTGCTGGGGCCATAAAAAGTAGCGTGAATCATTTTTTGGACCACCTGGTGTAAATATATATTGTGTGTATGTATATATATATTTTTCTGTTAGTTCAGCTCCCCAAGGCCAAGAATATGTACACATATATATATGTTTGTTATAAATATATGTATACATATATATATATGTATATTATAAATATATGTATACATATAATTTTATATACATATATATATATATATATATATATATATATATATATATATATACACACACACACATATATATACATATATATATATATATATATATATATATATATATATATATATATATATATATATATATATATATATATATATATGTATGTATGTATATCTATATATATATACAAATTAATGGCCTTGTTTTAAATAAAAAATGCCTAACGCATTAGCCTAATGTAAATTTGAGGTCAAAAAGTTCTCTTTGTTTTTTTTATTTTTTAAAGACATTAACTTTTTTAAATAACTGCAATAGTATTAACTAGTAGTAAGCAACCTGTAAATAGGGTTATTAGTAATTAAATCATTGCTTATAGTTAATGATAAAAAAAGACTACATTAGAGGGGGTCCATAATCATCTTTTTTTAGATTTTTTATAGTTTAACTAATTTTTCATTTTAATTATTTAGCCTTCTACTTCGATTTTAATAAAAGTGAATATATTGACAAATAAAGGCATTGTTAAAAATAGATGAAACTATTATTATCATTAAATATAAGAAAAGTAGAAAAGTAGAAATCTTTTTCTGTTTAATTTATCAATAATATACCTTATGATTTAAAAGTAAAACAAAAATTAAGCATTATATATAAAAATAATTCATACAGTTTGTTATTTACTATTGAAAATGGAAAATAACTATAAAAGTCATATGTGATAGAGATTACTGCAGGAACTTTCCATGTAGAACATCTAGGTTATGAGCGTGTTCTTTGGTAGACATAAGATAGAAGTTTGCATTTTTATACCAGCAATCATGTATTTAAACAGAATAGATCTCCGCGACAATTACCTACATTGTATCCCTAAAATAAAAAACCTCATTTTTCGAACTTTTTTTTCATTTCAACATATCTTTATCTACTTCAATAATTTCTAGTTCACAGCTAAATGGGCTGCTTTGTAACTTTAATTAAACTAAAATAGAACATCTTGCACACCTGATGTAAAGTTTGCTGCTCTTCCATTGTTACCCATTCATTTTTGTAGCTGGTTTCAACTGTATTCCATAGTTTCAACTTCTTGGACAAATAATTGGACAATAATTTTCCAAAGTATTTTTTTAACTACGCGAACCTTCATTTTTTATATGGTTTAAATAATTAAGTATACATCTACTGTTAAAATTAAATGGGTTTTTTTCAAAGCTTTCCAACTGCAACAACTTAATTAGAAAGTTAATACTAATCATATTCCATCATCAACTAAACACATAATACTTTTCTCTTTTTTGAAGTCCTGAGGCTAACTTTTGCCAAAATACTCTAGCAAGAATGATACAATCATTCAACCTCTTTGAGGTATATTTATTAACTGCTTTTATAATTTTTTTCAACTAGCTATTCACTGCGTTTTAGAGTAAAGCAGAAAATTTCAGAATTTGATCACCTAGTTTGTTTTTTATAAAGCCTTTTAGGTAGCGGTATTCCTTTAGCCTGTTTATTTTTAGAGTTGTTAAACCTTTAGAATTTAACTGAACTTCTACTGACCTGCACTTTAAAAGAAGATTTATTCTTGACTTTATTAAAGAAAAGTTAAAAAAAAAAAATGAAATCTTGAATAGCCTTCTTGATAGCTTGAGTAACGATTAAAATTAATGCTTTAAAACAAGGCTTGATTTATATATTTACTAAACTATGAATATTTTCTTTTTAAATTCTCTTATAAATCAATTTTTTTTACTTTTTTTAAACTTCTTTTTTTATTTTAACTTGTAGACCCATCGTCATTAATCGGAAGCTCCTCAGGTTTTCATTTAGATGGCATAATCGATATCGACAGTCTGATGAGTGTAGATACTTAGATTTTTATGACGGTATTGTTTACAGAGAAAAAAATCTATTAAATATCAAAGTTACTTTGTTTAGTAATTATCAATTTTAATTTAATTTGTAATACTGCTTTGTTTTCAAACATTTTTTAACTTAAAGTTATTTATTTATATTTTTTGACCTGTATTTTTAATTTGTGTCCTGTATTTTATAAAAAGTTCATGTGTTAATTTGTGTCTGTACTTATAAAAGATTTTAAATATACAATTAAGTTGAGTATAACTCTATATTTATCTAAATTTTTTATTTTTGCATTTATTTTTGCATTTGTTTTTTTTATTATTTTGTTTGTTCTAAACATGATGACAATGTTTACAAAATTAGGTAAAGAATTAAATACTCAAAATAAATGATATCTAAAAATCTTTTAGACTAAAATACTTTTAAGCTGTCTGAGTCTCTAACAGACCTTTTAAACTTCATATGTTTTGTGTGTTGCATATAAAAGTTTTTTAGTTTCTTAAAGTTTTTATAATTTGTAAAAACATTTTTTAATGTTTACTTTTTTGATTTACTTATATTTTACTTTATAGTATAGAATAATGGCCAAATCTATAGAATCATTGATTAAAATAATAAGAGAACTTCCAGACATCAGTCAACGAAAAGTTTGTGCTTTAATTGGTGCTACTGTTGGGGATGCTGCTTGTCGACCTTTACACTGGATTTACAATCAAGAAACCTTAGATAATATTCTTGGAGATGAAAAAACACCTGAATTCTGGCCTGAAAGCAAATCTCCCTTTTATACTATTCCATTAGGACATCGAAGTTGTTACAATGAAGAAGCTCTTACTACTATGGCTGCTATAACCAAAAATGAAGGTGTTATTGATATTAAGAAAATCTGTGAAAATTTCAAAATAAATTTTGGTGCTGGAACAGAATATGATGCTGCTCTTAAACGAAGAAAAGCGCAATATGATCCTGCAAATCGAAATGCATTCCCTGGTGCAGTTGAGGGCCCTTGGATACATGGAGCTGTGATCAAGTTTTTAGAAAACTATGAATTGTATGCAGAATGTTTTTCAGGGGATAGTGAAGGAAACGATTTAGATGCGTTTTGTGCAGCATTACCAATAGTTGTTAAGTTAAGTGACAAAGACAACATGTGGGAAAAATCGTTAGAAGTAGTAAGGTTGTTTTCAACTCATTCAGATTCATTAAAGTTTGTGGAAGCTTCTGCATGTTTGGTGCAGGCTTTTATTCAAGGTGTCAATGACCCAATAGCTGAAGCTAAGAAAAACATACATGCTGATGTCTTGGAGCATATGTTAGAAGTAGAAGCAAATTTAGACAAACCGTTTATTCCAACTGTAGCTAAGTTTGGCAAAGCATGTTCTTTACCTGGCTCATTCAAAGGTGCCTATCTCTGTTTATTGTCAACAGGGTCTTTTGTTGATGCGATTCGTTTAAATATCACAGCTGGAGGTTGTAATTGCTCCAGAGGAAACTTGATTGGTGCTGCTTTTGGAGCAAAATTTGGAATTGATGGTATTCCTGTTGAATGGTTGAACAAAGTTGATAACATTGAAAACATTGTTCAGCAAGCAATAGCAATTTCTTCGTAAATTACAAATTACTTTTTTTATTTTAAAAAAATAAAAGTTTTTGTTTGTACTTGTGTAACATGATTATAAAAATGTTTTGATACTCAAAAGTTATCATAAATTAAATCATAAATGATTAGTGTGAAATGCTTGTAACTGTATTTTTCTGTTGTTTTTGTTTGTTTGTTTTTTCATCTTTGTTTTTGTTTTGTTTTTTTCTTTTTAACTCTACATATTGAGTTTAAATTTATAAATTTTATTTCAGTAATAATTGTATTTTATTAAAAAAAAATAATAAAAACTTTATTTTATTTTGTGTAGTGAATAAATTTTATTGTTTTGAACTATTTTTATTTTTAAGTTATTATTATAAATCATTAAAAAAATTCTAATTATCTGAAATCCAACTGGTATTTTATTGTTATTGTTATGTTTATATTATTATGTTAAAAAAAAATTCATCTTTATTCTAAAACTGATTTTTATTTTCTTTAAAAAAAAAAAGTTTTTAAAATATCAAGTATTTTTATTATTATTTTTATTATTATTTATTATTTATTATTATTATTTATTACGACTAATGAGACATTTATTTCTAATTGTAAAATAAAAAACAATCACTCATATACTCAAAATCTAGTCAATTGAGTGATACCTAAAAATAACAACAAATAAAAATAAAATTAAAATTAAAATACAAAAATAAACAAAGAAAACTAACATAAAAACAAAGATTAAGTTGAAATTTTTTAAAAATATTTGATATAAAAAAAAATTTAAAATACATAAGAGCTAAGTATAATATGTGAAATAGTAAAGACAATATTAAAGGTAATATATAACAATTAAAATAAAGATATAATGACAAGATAATTTAAATGATACTATGATAGTTTAATAATGACATAATGACATTTTGTTTTTACAGGTTATTTAAAAGTTGTTGTTTTTATTTATTTATTTATTTACAATTAATTAAATGTCTGGGAGCCAAATTAAAGAGAGCAACAAAAGAAAAGTAGAAAATGTTCCTTTGTGTAAGTATGGTTCTGAATGTTATCGAAAAAATCCGACACATTTCTTGGAGTATTCCCACCCAGGTAAAATAGATATTTTTTAACAATTTGTATAACATTATTTGTAATACCATTAATAATAAAATGATTTTTTGTTACTCTGTTATTTTAAATATTTAGAGTTATCATGGTTCTTAAATATTTTGAAAGGCTACATTATATTATAAAGTAAGGTTTGATTTAAGCAAAGTATGTTTTGTGTAAGCTGAAAATAAAATATTTGGTACACAATGGCACAAACTGTGACTTTTACCTAATGTTTATGCAAGTAATTTTAATAAAAGTTGTAAATTTGAACTGGCATTAAAATTTCAGTATATATTGTGTTTCTTTTAGTTGGTTTAGTTTTAGTTTAATTGGGTTTTTCTTTTTAACTTTTTTTTAACTGCTTTTAAAGAATTTTATTGAAATATTCAAGTTTCCAGAAAGAAAAAGAGAAATTTAAAAATTTTTATTTTAGTATTTTAATAAAGTAAGATTTTTCAACTTTCATTCATTTTAACAATTTTAATGTTATTTACTAGTTATTCGAATTAATTCAAATATTAAATTGAAAGTTCTAATTTAACAATCCTAATCCCAATTTGATAATTTCACTGTAACTCATGGCAACTCTCCAGAACATAAAACATTAGTATAAGTGAAAAGTCGCCCAAGAGCTAAGTGCAAAACAGCATTCATAATTGACAAATTTTTAAAAAGGAAAATTAATTTTATTATTATCAAACTTTTATGAATTCAAGTGAGCCCATTTACTATTTGAAATCGATTGACAAAATTTATGTCTTTAAGTTCAACAGAGTCTATAATGTTTTGAAATATTCAAACTCGCTTGCGTTTGAATTACTTGAATAATTGATTTAATTCCAAAAATACCTATGATCAAAAAAGCCTAATTATGATGTATCAACTTGATACTAAAAAACTTGATACTGGAAAAAGTTTTGATTTCACAAACTGTTTGGATACTTATTTAATATCAAAAGATTTTAACCAAGCAAGGTTATGAGCATAATTTCTCATCAAAAGATTAATTTTGCTTCAGTAATAGTTATAAAACTTTTTTTCTCTTACTTTTCATCAAAAAAAGTATTTTTATTTTATTGTAAAATATTATAAATATTTTAAATGTAAGTTTATTTTTTACAATAAAATATTTTATTTTGAATATTTATCTCTCTAACTGTAGCATGTTACAAAACACAATCCTACATACTGATTTTGATAATTCAAGCAAATGTGCTGTGCCCCTTTTAATAAACTAGCATTACATTAGATTGCTGTGTTATTGTATTGTAAAAGTGATGTTTAAAATTTTTGATATTCAAATGTTGTGACTGCAGAATGAATAGTTGTTTTACTGTCAATCATAGTACTTCTCAATGAAACAACTTTATTCATCAAGATTTTATGATAAAAGTTATGTATGTTAAAAACAGTAGTAACAACTTTTTCACTGTAATGGTCAACTTTAAAAACTTTAGAGTTTATCATGCATGCAATATTAATTATAATAGATTAAAAGTTGTTTAGCTGAAGAACACTTTTTGGTAAAACATGTTATGGAAAATGACAATTAGTTTTTATAGATAATTATTTGTTATAGATAATTAGTTGTTAGATCATAGTGGTATCAAAAACTAAAAGACATTTTATTTTATAAAAAAGTTTCTTTTAGAAATGAAGAAGTTAAAAGCAGAAAATGAAGTGAAAAAAGAAAATAAGGAATGCGTTGTTCCTTTTTTTTTAAGTACTGTTCAAGGAATTGATCATGAGTTTAATAAATATGCTATCAGCATCAAAGGTAAAACTATAGATTTGTATTTTTACTTGTGTTGTGTACTTTGTTAATAATGCATTAGCAATCTAGTGGTGGAGCTTGTACTTTTTAAGCAAGAAGTATTAAGTTTCATCTGACCCAGTCCTTGGTAAGTAGTACTCAGTTTGTTCTCACTTAAACACCAGGAAAAGCTGTGTATTGTTGATATTTTTGTTGTATTTTTATATTGTTAATAGTGTATTATTATTATATTGTTAATACTATTATGGGTTATTTTCATTATATTATAAATATGATAAAGAAACGTTTATTGATTTTTTTTTCTAACTTTCAGTAACTAGGTAACTCTCAGTAACTAGGTAACATTAATATACATTGTTGGTTTAAAATAATTTTTATTTTAGATATCCTTTCAGAAAATTTTGATGAGTTGAAGGAGTCTGTTCAGGTTATTTTTACTCTTTAAAAAAAATTATGTAAGATGCTTTTTGAATTTTATGTGCCTTTTTTTGAGTTTTATTTGCTTAATTATTGTGATCTTTACTCCATTTTCCATTTTAATGTATATTCATTATATATATATACATATATATATATATATATATATATATATATATATATATATATATATATATATATATATATATATATATATATATATATATATATATATATATATATATATATATATAGATATATATATATATATAGATATATATATATATATATATAGATATATATATATAGATATATATATAGATATATATAGATATATATATAGATATATATAGATATATATATATATATACAGTGGTGTACACTGGATTTTTAGATATTTGAGTTTTGACACTTACACGTATTTTGCAATTTGTGGTGATTGGAGCTTGGGGACAAAAAAAACCCAATTTTCGGGCCCACCCAGCCCTTAACGTGGGAGCAACAAGTTGACAAAATAATTTCTTTAGTATTTTTATCTAAGTTTATATTCATCAACGAATTTCAAATTTCATGCAATAACCTCTTAGTTTTTAGTTTTTATGACCCTACAAAGTTTACAGCCCACTTAAATTGAGGGGGGTTAAAACTTTATATGGTCATAATTTTCGAAAAATAAGAAATTATTGGATGAAATTTGAAATTTGTTGATGAATATAAACTTAGATAAAAATACTAAAAAAATTATTTTATCAACTTGTTGCTCCCACGTTAAGGGCTGGGTTTTTGAGGTTTTTTTGTTCCCAAGCTCCAATCACCACAACTTTTTGCAAAACATTCTCATTTGACATAAGTATGAACATACAAAAGTTTGGAGCTTGCACAATACCTGTAAGTGTCAAAACTCAAACATCTAAAAGTCCAGTGTACACCACTGATATATATATATATATATATATATATATATATATATATATATATATATATATATATATATATATATATATATATATATATATATATATATATATATATATTCTAATTATTTAAATCTTGTTGATTTTCTAAGTTAAAGGTTTTTAAAATAATTTAAATTTTAAAAATTCAAAAATTTAAAACAAATAAATATAAAATTTTAAAATTATATTGAAATATTATCCTTTTGAATAGAGTTTGTCATTTTTTTAGCTTTTAAAATCAAATTTCCTTGTGAAAAATGAATTACACTTTTAAAAACACTAACAACATAATTTTTTTATTTTATCTATTTATTTTATAGTTTTAATAACCAGTTTTATTTAAAAACTGTTATTAAAAATTTGTATTATTCAACTTTAATTTGACTTTATATTATAGACTTTGATTTAGATGTTCTGATTGTTAATAATTCTATTTGGGAACATAGACTTGCCAATCTAGAAAATTAGACTTTCTAAATTTTTTTGAGTAATTTTTTACTGTCATTTTTATTTTAAATCAGATTACACAATCAATATAGTAAAAACCTTGTTTTATCAAATATGTTAAATTATGTTTAATTAAACCTTGTTTTATCAAATATGTTAAGTTATGTTTAATTAAACCTTGTTTTATCAAATATGTTAAATTTTTCTGGGTTGTGGTGATAAAACCTAATGTTGTGCGAAATTTTTTCCGTAGACTTAAGACTATAGAAAAACTCGAAACACATGGGGATCGTCCATAAATTATGTAACTCAAAATTTAACTAATAGACAAAAGAAAAAGTGTTAAATGTTTTCCCTCGCAGAGTCTTTAATTAAACCATGTATAAATAACCCTTCAAGTCCAGCAAAAGCCGCCACTCAAAAGAGCAAAATGTTTTACTTATATTTTTAAAATAAGCTTTGCTTTTAACTTTGCCATGTGTTTCAAGTTTTGAAACACATTCAAAAAAAATTCAAGCTTTGCGTTGTGTAATTTATGGACAATCCCATGTTGAAAAGTTTAACACTTTGAAAGCAGAAACAAAAATTATGCTGCATAGTGTTATTTGTGAATTATAATTTAAGGTTTTAATTTTGTTACAGTTCAATTACATGTTTGATGTTGAATGGCTGATAAAGATGTATCCTGTTTCATCTAGGTATTTTAAAATCTTATCTAATATATTAATATATATATATATATATATATATATATATATATATATATATATATATATATATATATATATATATATATATATATATATATATATATATATATATACAATATACATATATACATATATACATATATACATATATATATGCATATATATATATATATATATATGTATATATATAACAATTTTTTTCGATAACTAGAAACATATTTTACAAAAAATGGAAATAAAAGAGATAAAAAAGTAGAGTTTTAATTAAGCGTTAAATGAAAGAAAAAGTAAGTGAAAGTAATTGAAAGAAAAAGTTTCTTCAATTAGTGCACTAGTTATATTATGAGTAATTAATATGGTTCAAAAGTTTCAGTGTTACTAGTTTTTTTTAGAGAGAAACCACTATTACTTGTGCATGGTCATACTGGGAGTAATAAAACTGATTTAGAAGCTTCAGCATTAAAATATTCAAATATTGATTTAGTTCAGGTGAATAAATTTTTTTGAATTTCATAAAATGAATTCTATTTATTCTATATATCTATTTATTTGTTATATGATATAATTCAATTCTCATCTATGACTTTTTATCTATATATAGATAAAATATATAGTTTTTCACTATATATTATATATTAATTTTTCACTAAAATATAGATATATATATTTAGTTTTTCACTAAAAAAGTGAAAGTGTTTAACATAAACTGTTTTTGTTTTTTAATTAGGCTCGCCTTCCCATTGCTTATGGTACTCATCATAGGTAAGCTTTTTTTCTATATAAAAAGTTTTTTTTAAATTAGACTCGCCTTCTTATTACTTATGGTACTCATCATAGATGAGCTTTTTTTTTGTTCGATAACAGTGTTCATGTATTAAAAAAAGTTGGAACAAAAAAAATTAGTCTGTGTTGTTTGTATTGGATTTACAAGATTTACTAATACATTTGAATACATTCTGTAAGTGTCATTGCATAGTAGATGAAAAAATATTTGATAATCTGTGGCAGCTAGAAAAGCTCATTCCTACCCTTATTTTAATATATTTTCTAAATGTAGGATTTTTTTATTATATATATAAAATACAGTTGAAAGACTTTACCTCTATTCTTAGAATTCAAAAGTTCTTAGAGTTAAAAAGTTCAATATTTACAAAAAGTAACAATGTCAATTATTTGAAAAACATTGATTTTATTATAATTCTAAATAGTTTTACAGTTTAATACATTATACTACCATTACATTAACTTTATTAAATGTGTCTTTAAATGGTTAGACAAAATGTCATGAATTTTTTTAGTTTTGATAAGACAGGTTTGTAAAATTTTCATAAAATTTGAAATCAATATATTATCTGAAAGTAGTAATCAATAAAATAAACTAAAAGTCTATTGCTGTTTAAAAGTCTTTTAATAAAATGCTTCATATCTCAAATATAAATAAGTTTTTCAAGTAATAGAATTTTTCAAGTAATAGAAATTCAGTAAAATTTCAAATATTATTTTATTAAAGGCACATAAGGCATGGAAAGATTCAAACTCCCCTTCAATTTCCTACACATTTTGACCAGTAGTATGGTCGTTATTATCCTGCTCAATCTCTACATTTTGTAAATTATCATATTCATCTACAGCAGCTGCCACAAAGATGATCAAAGATCTATATAAAACTGTTTTTACATTATGATATTTCTTAATACTTTCTGTTCAAATAAAGTTTGAGCAAAAAGTATTTAAAGCGAAAAAGTGACCAACTTTAAATACAAGCCAAAAATAAACTAACAGTTATTCACCATTAAAAAGAAAGAAAACTTTTTCTCTCTCTCTCTCTCTCTATATATATATATATATATATATATACATATATATATATATATATATATATATATATATATATATATATATATATATATATATATATATATATATATATATATATATATATATATATATATATATATATATATATATATTACCTAGAGAGGTAAGTGTAGTAAAAAAATATTAATAATATATGCACAATGTCTGATAGTTGTTTTGTTTTTTTTTAGTAAAATGATGTTTTTGTTTTATTCAACTGGTCTCAGAATAATTATAACTACAGCAAATCTAGTAGAGCAGGATTGGTTTCAAAAAACTCAAGGGTATGACTTGTTAATTCAATTTTTGCATTTAAAAAAAAAGATACATATAAACATACATACATACATATACATATACATATGCATATACATATAAATATATAAAGTTAAATATAGCTAGATATATACAGATAGATGTATATATATATTTAAATTAGATATTTTTTAGAATATGGAAAAGTCCTTTATTTGCAATTAAAGATGTCGCTTATGATGGTAAAAATGATCCATTTAAAGAAGACCTCTTGGTATTTTTTTTAACATTTAAGTTTCTACTTTAAATACATTTTTCACAATCATTACATATAGGCACAGCTAAATATAAAAATCAATTATTATTAGTAAAATAATCTTCTCAGCATCAACTGATTTTTAGCTATAAATGCAGTGAGTGTATATACATTGACTAAAGGTTATGGTTTAAGCAGACAGTCTGGTAATTTAAAGTAAAGTTGTCTTCAGGCTTTTAAACTTTCTCTCTTTTTCTATGTATATTTATTTTAAAATATATTAAAGTATAAAGCATGGAACAATAGTTGTGTACTGAAATTTTACTTTGTAATATTTTGACCTGTTTTTGCACAGATTGTCATCAGGTATAAAATATAATTATAAGAAACCATTCATAACCATAACCATTCATAAACCATATTACATAAAAATGTCAAAGAAGATATTAAAAAGAATTTTTTAAAACAGAGGTCTCCAACTGTTTGTAGATATTTTATGCCATTATCATGATTGAGAAGTATAGTAGGGTGATTTATTTTCTGGTATGTTGAGGCGTAGTTAATTTTGAGTGATTCTCTCATTTGCTCAATGTTCGTGCATTCATTTTTATCTCAAATGAAACATAAATTTTTTTGCCAATCCTCTGATTATTTTTTACAGAAATATTTTATTTATTATAATTTTTATGCATTATAATTCTTTTATTTTTCATTAGGAGTATTTGTCTAGTTATGGAAACAGTAAACTGGGAATGTATGCAGAGAAATTAAAAGAATATGATATGAGCTCAGCAAAGTTTGTTTTAGACTTTAATTTGTTTGTTTTAATATTAATATTAATAGACTTTAATATACTATACTTAGATTATAATGAAGGTCATGATAACAACATCAGATGTCTAATAACATTTGCCCAACAGCATCTGTAAATATAATGATGTATAACAACATCTGTAAATACACTGAGGTATAATAACATCTGTCCAACAACATCTGAAATTTCATTGATGTCTAATAACATCTGTGTAAAAAGTATATGATTACTACAGATGTAGTTACATCTTTTCAATTATAATAAGAATAAATACATCTGTGAATTCTACAGATTTAGTTACATCTTTTCAGTTATATTAAATATAATTACAGGATTTTATGAAATTATTAAATTATAATGCATTATTTTAACCAGATGTAGTTTCATATATGGTTTTTTTCAGATGTAGTTACATCTAGAAAAAATAATAAATATAATTGCATTACTTTAACCAGATGTAGTTATACATAAGATTTTTTTCAGATGTAATTACATCTGGAGGAAATTCTTCCAGATGTTATTGGATTTAGAGAAAAATTACATCATCCTAAAGATGTTCTTAGAGATCATTGAATTTCCAGATGATATTGGACAGATGTTGTAGGAGTAAAAAAATATATACAAATGTTCTTGGACAAAAGTATACAGATGATTACTCTACAGGTGTTTTTGGACAGATCTTTTACCGATAATTAATATAGTACCTATGAAATTCATTTTTAATTTTTTAATTTTATTTTTATTCAGTGTGCATTTAGTTTCTTCAGTACCTGGGCGGTATACAGGTTTTAAAATGCACCAATGGGGACATCTGAAGTTAAGAAAGGTAATTACTTAATTAGGTTGTATATGTTTAATGTTGTTTATATGCGTGACAATTATTATGTATAAAAGCATGGTAAAATTTGTTTATTTTTGATTATTTATTTTAAGTTGTTACTGTCCTATGGACCTTCTAAAGATCTTGTCAATGAAAATTGGCCAATTATCGGACAGTTTTCAAGTATTGGCTCACTTGGTTCAGAAAGTTCAAGCTGGTTATGTGGAGAATGGCTAAGTAGTCTGAGTACTTGTAAAGATGACGAGCTTAAAGAAAGTAAAGCTAATCTCAAACTGGTATGCATGTACAGATATATGTGTGTGCATAAATTAGTGAAAAATACTATTTATCATATATGCACCAGCTTGTACCAACTTATATATGTTCCAGTTGGTACAAGCTTATATATGTACCATTCATGCATTTGAAATATCCTTAATTATCATTTTTAAGCTCATTTGTTTTTAGTACATAAGTTACTTCTTTGTTTGTTATTTTATATTTTTACTGCATGTACTTATATTTTGGTATTCAGGTGCTATTCTAAGAAAATAATTGCCGCATGTAGGCATTTTTTCAAAAAAATACAATATTTACAAAACAAAAAAATAGGTCCTCAATTTCTGAATTTGGGCAGTACTCAAATATGGTTTTCAAATATGGTCTAGAATAGCCCCTGGTATTACTTTTATTGCATGCTTTACTATATTACTTTTATTGCATGCTTTACTTTTTATTATTATTTTTTTTTTTATTGTTCTGAACATCTATTCAACATATCTTTATTTATTGTTGAGCTTGACAGTTTTGTTGAGTCTTGATGCAAATATTTTCATTTTCTTTAATCAAAATTTTTGTTTTATTTTCTGATAAATTTTAAACATAAAAAAGTGTTATTACTGCTATGTTTTTTGATAACATTGAGCATTTGTAAATACAATTGTTAAGTATGTGTATTTATTACACACATACACACATATATATAGTAATTAGCAATTTTGCTTTATACACATATATACACTAATTAGCAACTAGCTGGTAATTTTTACATACTTTTTAACTGGTGTAGAAAGGTTTTTGAAGTTTGACCAACATAAGGAAGTCAAAAGTATTTATATCAAAAAATTATCAAGATGACTTTTTTTCTTTAAGAAAGATTGTTTAGTAAAAGAGAGATTTTAACAAAGGAGAGATTTCTTTCATTTTAAAAAAGATTGTTTAGTGAATGTTTTATGAAAGATTGTTTAGTGAACGTTTTAAATTTTTATCAATATAAGTTAAAAATCAATCAGTTACTGCTGATATCAATACTATTGGTATAATTAATACCAATAGCTTTTTTTTTTTTAATCTTAATAAGTCTTTAGAACTACCTGTATAAAACAAAAAGAGTTTGTATCTAAAAACACATCAATCACACTAATTAGCTTTAGAATGTCAATTTTAACTCTAAGTAAGTGATATATTGTTTTTTAAGTTGTTTTTTTTTAACTTTTAGTTTCCAGGCTTTGTAGAAGGCTGAAAAAAAGGAAATTATTTTAAGTATAAATAGTAAAACTATGCAGTATATCAAACTAAATATGGTTTTGCTATTGCTAAATATTCAGTTGAATATAGATTTAAGAAAGCAATATCAATGACAAAAACAAATCTATTTGCAAAGCACATTTAGATTCAATAGAAAATTTAAAATAAAATAAAAGTAAAAAGTACTGTAATATTTTTTGTAAGTAGTAATATTTTTATTTGAATACTTAAATGATTAAAAATATTTTTACCAAAAGATATAAGAAATAGTACAATACTGCAAGACACAAAAAATTGAATAAATAAGTCACTGTAAAAATTCAAATCAAACTTTTTATGTTTATCTTTATGTTTATCTTTTTAAGTTTCTCTTTTATTTTTTTCTTCATATTGTTTTATCTTCCTCACCTCATAGTTTTCTTGTCTCTCTTTTATCTCTATTTTTTATTTTTTTATTTTTTTTTTCATTATTTTTTTTTTTTTTTTTATCTTTTAAATTGTTCATTATAATTTACACAACTTTGAACAAAAAATCTTTTGAATTTTTTCAAATTTATAATCACATATTTATTTTTAATATATATTTATTTGATTTTATTTTGACATGTATTTATTTGTAGATGTGTTTTTTATTATTCAGATCTATCCAACAATTGAAAATGTCAGAAACAGTTTAGAAGGGTACTCAGGTTTTATTTTACAAATATTTATTTATATCTGTTTTAGTATTAAATTTATATATATTTATATATTTCTATTTAAAATTGTTTTGGTCAATGTTTGATCATTATGATTTTTAGGTATATCTTTTAGCTGGTTGTTCATTACCATATGGCATTCAAGTGGCAATGAAGCAACGTTATTTAAAAGATTTTTTAAAGTAAGTTTTATTTTAAGTTTAAGTTGCATTGTTTAAATATTATTTTTGTCATTACTATTATTAAATATATATGAATTTTTTATATTTAATTTACAACCTAAACAGAATAAAAAAAATAGAAATTCTTGATAAAAATTCTAAATGATGCAATTGCTTTTGCACAGTTAATAAAAAGTTATTTAATATTTTTGCACATGATTTGTTATTTTAATTACTTATTTAGTTGTTTAATATGATTATTTATATTAAATATTAAAACTACCTGATTAATAAAGTGGTAATAAATAATGTATTGATAAAAATTTCAATTGATTTGGTATTACAGTTTGGGGAGATAAAATAAAGCCTTGAGTATAAAAAAAATATTTTAATTAAAATGTATAAGCAGTTATTTTTTGATGTAATTACATAAAATATGCAGTAGACAAAACTATAAGCAAAGCTAAAACATTCACACTGTAGATATACGTCTGATATATGACCACGCAAATTACATTTTGCTATGACAATTTGACCGCGGCTAATTCAAAAAACATTTTAAAAACGCGCTAAATGAAAAATATTCTGAAAAAGTGAAATTAGTTACATCATGTTTTCATATTAGCGAAACACTTTTAAATAAAGTAACAATTTACTGATAAAAGTTTTTTTTTTTTAATATAATTGACAGTTGTATATATTTTTTTAATTTATAATATATAAATTGTTTAAGTGTGCATTGCTATAACAAACAATATTAAAAAATAAAATTGTTTTGTTTTTATAAACGATGACATTCTACGACTACGAAAGTCTCTTTAACAAATTTTAGTATAAGAATAAATAAAGTTAATACATTTAAAAAGATAAACAAAATTTCATTGAAAAAAAAAAGTTTTAGAAAGTCGTTACAATTAAATAAGTTAATAAACTGTTGTTGTTTTTTTAGTTATATAATTATGTATTTTTTATGAAAAATGTTTATCTTTTAAAAACATTAAATAAAAAATAAAAAAGTACAAATGTTAAAACAAAGATTAAAATGGTTTTTATTGCGTAAATTAAATAGACTACAGCTACAGCATAGGGCTCACAGTAGCTGGTGAACTTTAATTCAGATAAAAATTTTTACAGCCAATCGTTATCATAATAATTTAGACCTTCATATTTTTATGAACGGTCATGTTATGTTCGATGAGTCATCTACCCTTCATCTTCTAGGATTAACTCTTACTTACGATCTTTCTTGGAAACCATATATCAAATCCATTACAAAATTAGCATCTGTTAAAGTTGCATCTCTTTATCCAGCTCAACACTTTCTTTTTTCAACACACTCCGGATTCTATTCTCCATCTCTATATATCTCAAATCCGGCCTTGTATTGAATACTGTTCCATATCTGGGGTGGATCTTGGGTTGGACCTGCTCTTGCAGCCAACCTTCAACCATTATCACATTGTCATATGTTGCTTCTCTTTCTCTTTTCTAAAAATATGATATTGGGCACTGCTCTACTGAGCTAGCGTCTCTTGTGCCATCTACTAAAATTCATTCTCTTGTTACCGATCATTCAATTAAGTCTCATCTTTTTTCTGTGGCTGTTCCTAATTGCTCCAAAAACACTTATTCTTCTAGTTTTTTTTTCTTGAACATCAGTTCTTTGGAATTCACCTCCTTCATCTTACTGCAATCTTCATCTTTTCTTTTCCAGTAACTTTCAAGTTACTGGAATTGAAGATTCCAGTAACTTGAAGAAGAAGCAAAGATGTTTAAAAAAGAAAAAAGTGTCTTCCTTATTCCCTAATTTTGTAAAAATTAGAGAATAAGAAAGGAAATAATAAAGAATAAGGAATAATAATAAAATAAGAAATAAAAAAATAAGGAAGATACTTTCTTGAGAACCAATATACTTTCATGAGAAAAATGAAATAAAATTTTATAATCAACATTCTGCACTACCAATATTGAGACATTTCGAATCCATATTAAGAGTACAAAGGGTTTTTTTTGTTTGGTCCTTGATTTTTTTTGTGCCTAAAAGCAAATCTGTATCTTTCAATCAATCAATTTCAATGCAATTTTATTATTGATTCACTAACACGCAACTCTTAAAGTTAGGAAGAGCTATTCTTCTATTAACTCTCAAAGAATCAATGTTAACCATTAATTAAAGATTATGGTGCAAAGCTAACACATATCTTCTTTTATATCATTATCTTGGATACTAGTAGCTGTTTTGATACTCTTGATCTAACAATAATTCCATTTTTTGAGGATAGGTCTAGTGTGAACCTTTGTTAGGACCAATAATCCATAGAGCTTACTTTTGTAGACATTTCAGTTGCATATTTATTTTTTAATTTACTGTTTCCCCAAATCTCAACACCATATGTTAAATGGCTTCTAATTAAAGTATTGTATAAAATAACTTTAGGTTTATAAGGTAATAGTTTGTTAACCCTTTCGTGATGGAATTTATTTTGGCGATTTAAAAAACGCTATACTATGTCACATTAACACTTAAATATATTAGTTTCCTTACAAAATAAGTTCTACAAAGAACTATCATTGGAAAGCAAAAATTTAAATAAGCAGGTAAAAAAAATAATCTGATGGGGTATGCATCATTTCATATTTATGATAAGGTTTCCAATTTTAAATATTTGCTAATTAAGCCTTTTAAATTGGTAGCTATATTGTTTTAGAAGTAAATAAACAATTTTAAAAAGGATCAAAATCTATTCATCTTTCATTTGATTACTTTCCTGATTTAGATAGTTAGAAAATAATTTTTTTGGCACAAAAGGGTTAAACTTTCTAAGTATGTAGATGAGCTATATGTACAATGAGGTACCATGAGTATGTAATAAAGAAGGATCTTCCAAAGACAGCAAAAGATCTATACAAAAGACCTTTTTTGAAAGATCAACCTCAATTAAAAATTGTACAATAGTATCAATTGATTCAAATGACTTTCACTTATCTATTTTAATGCTTGTACTATATGGCCATTTCTTTATATCGTCCCAAAGAATACCAAGAAAACTAAAGCTTTTTTTTTTCATAATTTCTCCACATTGGGTAATTATTTTATAATTTCATAAATGTTACCTAATAATTTCTCTACATTGGCCTTGAGCCTTTGGGTTCAAGCTCTTGGGCTCCCTGAAACATTATTGGTGATTGCAATGCAATCTTGAAAATGGGGGATTGCCACATATCCCCTACTTAATTAGCAATTAGAGCCTAGATGAAAGATATGTCACAAATAAACAAACTGTTATTAGTCGGCATAAGGTGGGCAAGAAAAAGTTTGATACAAAGGGATTACTATAAAACATAAAAACGAGGTTGGCAATTTTTTGACGACCTCAAACACTTTAAGTTCGGCAGTTATATATATATATATATATATATATATATATATATATATATATATATATATATATATATATATATATATATATATATATATACATCTTATATATACATCTTATATATATATATATATATATATATATATATATATACATCTTATATATACATCTTATATATATATATATATATATATACATCTTATATATATATATATATATATATATATATATATATCTTGTATATATATATATATAAATATATATATATATATATATTTATATATATATATATTTATATATAAAAGATGTATATATATATTAGATATATATATATATATATATATATATATATATATATATATATATATATATATATATATATATATATAAGATATATAAGATACATATATTAGGGTGTGACATCCGCCCCCTATATTCTAAAAAAGATCTGTTGATATTCTTAAAACCTTCTGTTGGTTCTCACAAGCAACTTTATTAAATTTTTTCAAATTTTTATTGGATTTAAAGGGAGCACCAGACCCTTGAACACTTACCAGGTCCCTAATATTAAATAAAAAAAGCTTTTCAAAAGTAATAATTATCAAAAAAAAATACACTTTTTTCATTTTTAGGTTAAAAAAAGGTCATTTTTTGCAAAAAAAACTAATAATTTTTTTATAAAATGATTGTTATTTTTAAAATTTTTATATAATTTCGCTTCTTTTGAGACCCAATCTGACATACTTTTGAAAAACTTTTTTTTATAGAATATTAGGGACCTGGTAAATGTTCAAGGGTCTGGTGGTCCCCCTAAATCCAATAAAAAATTTAATAAATTTTTTTAAATATTATTTCGCTTCTTTTGAGACCCAACATTTGAAAAAATGTAATAACGTCACACCCTAACATATATATATATATATATATATATATATATATATATATATATATATATATATATATATATATATATATATATATATATATATATATATATATATATATATATATATATATATATATATATATATATATATATGTTTATAAATTTTATAAGATGCATACAGATGTTTATACTGCATAGCTCATTGATTAGGAGGCTGTGCTTTATCTATGAATGAGTCAAGTTCTCATTAAACCCAAATCATAACCAAAGTAACCAAAAATTTTAAACCTAAAAAACCATCCCCACCACCTAAATGTTTTAAAGGGATCCCTAAGTGCTATAAAGATATGATCTCATATGAAAGAGCATTAAAAAAAAAAATGTTTGATGTATATTATTTTTTCTAAAACGTAATAATGAACACACACTAACAAATTTAATTTTCAAAAAAACGCTTTTCTTCGATTAAAAAAAAATGCGTCTTGTCCAAAGTTTATTGACTCTACTGCCTCAAAAAACTAACGTTTGTACGTCACATAAACAAAGTAGACAAAATGTCATTATTGCAAACTTATTAGTTGGTAATTAAATTTAAAAGTAAAGTCGTTTTTTTTTTCAACTAACACAATTACTTACAAGAATAAGTTTTGTAGCATTTTGTGACAAATATATTTGTATATTAAAATTTTTTTTATAATTTTAATTTATATATTTGTGTTATAAGGGCAATTCCACGGCCAAAAATGAATAGAAGT